TATATATATTTATATATTTCCAGGTAACAAGGAAAGCAAGCAATACCAAGTAGATTAAAAAAATATGCATATGCAAACCTCAAAGCACAAGTATTGCAGGAGAAGAACACTCAGGTCTTGTCAGCCGGCACTGAGGCTGCTGGGGAAAAGCTTACTTGGCATACCTTTGTGGGATCCTGGCTTAGTCTCTGAGACATTAATGTGCTTTAGGAGGGGAAAAATCCTTCACATGAAAACCAATTATCTCTGTAAAAATTAATGCCTTATTTTTAAAGTCTAGTTTATACAAAATTAGTGTATTATTGGACATATCACTGAGCTAAATATGACCATGGAATTCAATTACCATCAATGGGATCATGAAAAACGTTATTTTCATCTGCAAAACTTCTGGTGCCTGAAATATTTCCATAATCAAATATTGGTCCTTCCAACAGGGTCACGATATCTATTCGATTAATTTTTGTCAATACAGAAGTTAAGGCATCAGCTGAAAAACAAATAAGACATGTCAGAAAAAAGTTCAGTATTGAAGAGCTGTGGAATTGTCCCTGCAGTCACAGTCGCATTGCATTAATTGTAAATTGCTGGGGTAAGGTTCTGTCCCAACACCTTCGGTTCTAGCAAACCCCATCATTTATCTAAGTAGTCATTCTACTGCCTACTTACTCAAGATACACATCTATGGAGAGTCCTTCCTTCCCCCACCCCCAAATATAATTATATTATAATACAAAAGGCAATATAAACAAAGGTAAGAGAGTTCTTAAAGAATGTATTTACTTGCTACTGAAACTAAATATCCTTTTACTGGAGTGTAAAAATCCTTTTACCATTCTGTTTCAAGGAACAGCAGAGTAGGTAGCCACGTAGGTAATTACATGTGTAAGGCTATTCATGCAGTCATCATGAAATCTCATTTACAATAATCTTGTTGTGAGAACACAGTAATACTGGAAATTACTTTTATGTGAAAGAGATCAGAGTCGACTCAAATACTGCGTGGGGGTGTGTGGATTAGAGAATGGTAACGATCACCAGTGACGTAACAAAGAAATCAAAACCTCTCTTTCAATTTGAGCAATTCCAGTGAAATGCACAGACAAACCCAGCAGAATCAGCACAGAATCAGTGTCTCTGTCACTCCACAGAGAAGGAGGTTGTCTTTTCTTATGACCCGCAATACTGCGAGACAGCCTAACTCTTCCAGGCAGCCTATGTCCATGTTTCGCATTCCCTACTGTCGGAAAGTTTTCCCTAATATTTTTGTTACTGGAATTTAAGTTCCTTTCTTGTCCCATCAATTATGCATTATTTCCTTCTGCCTATATACTGAATAAAAATGACATGTTTCCAACTTCTGGTAAAAATATAATAGCTGAATTATTTTCTTCCTCAGGAGTGGTTTGTGAAAGACATTCATAACGTTTTCTTCAGTTTAACCTATTTAGATCAGGCAACAGATGAAATAGGCCGTAGCTTACAAACAACAAAAGTAACTATTTGAACTTACTTGTAGCATTTTTCCCATCTCTGGTAACCCATTTTTTTAATAACATGAAGCTTTGAGCAATAAGAGAATTTGGGTTTTCTACTCGGATTTGATTTATTTCATCCACAGAAAAATTCAATTCTCTTGCCAGTTCTATAATGACAAAAAGAAAAGCAAGCAAAGAAAGAAAACAACAACAAAAGCACTAAACAGAGCACAAATCCCTCAATCATCCCATCAGCCTTAAAAATATTATATTTCTTAGATCACACAGATATCAACAAAACTACCTGACGTGAACTTTACAGGTAGGGAAGAACACGGCATTAGGTACTCATACTTTAATTTCCCGACAGACACAATTTTGAATTTTGGTCGTCTCTGTGAGCTATTATTTCTACTCAGTAAGTCACTTAAACATGGTGAAAAAAAACCTCCGTAAAAACTCCTAACTTATAAAAATCTAGGGTTTTTTTCTGGTGATGGTTACCTCCAGTGCAAGGCCATGGGGTAATTTCCTACTGGGCATCGTGTTGCCTATTTTGGGAGGCTGGGCTCACTGTGATTTCAAGGGAGCCTGATGCAGTCTTGCTGCAGCTGTTGGCAAACTACCTGAAAATGTCATAGTGAAGACTTATTTCAATATTAAAGCAGAAGAGCTTACCTGTCCAGCTAAGTCCTAGGTGATCGGCTACAATTGCCATCCTTATATCTGTCCGTTCACATGGACTCTGTGGACCTGTGATTTACAATTTCTTGATTAAAAAGGTTTTGCACAGTAAACCACAATACCGGACGACGGTTTATTATAAATAATAGTTTTAATTTGACTAAGTTGACGGTGCTTATATTGTTTACTAGAATGGTTGTGTGCCCTAAAAACCTAAAAAGAAAATTTTTTTTTCACAACTTTTAGATTTTCACCTGTGTGAAGCCAAATGTCAAACTAGATGATGTCGTGTAATGAAACCAAACATGCTGACAAACCTAGCTGTTAGACAATTTGTACACAAATTGTTAAATTACGGGTGGAAACCACCAAGACCAGATTATCATCTATTTGTTTACTTTGACAGAATGAACTTGCTGTCACAAAAGAAATCTTTCTGAGTTACATCAATTTTTGAGTTACATGAATGTCTGCAGCATGCTTCACTAGCTTTCTACAGAACAGGATTTGTTTGAAGGAAGAAAGAAGAATATAAGACAGCACATACAGATGACAATGACAGAATGAAAACTACAGTTAAGTCACTCCACAGGCAATCACAACAGTTCATGCACTAGGATCAACAAGTTGAAAGTTTTACAAACTAGGCTTGATCTCCACGAGGTGAGCCATGAGAGCTCCAGAAACCTGACTGCCTTCATTCTCACCAGTCCTCTTACTCCTCCTCCTCTCACTGTCGGCCTTTTCAATCTTTGATTTTATAGATGCTGCCTCAGTTCTCATGTCTCTAGCAGACTTCGTTGTAATGGAAGGCTGGTAAACTTGAGTAGCTTCTGATAAGGATGTGTTCCTTGATGTACTGTCTTCTTCATCATCAGAGACCTCTGACTGCATCTTTTTCTCTTCATCAGATAGACGATCCACAAGCTTTAATGTCTCACCACTAATTCCCTTAAAATATTCAATAGAATGTTTACATACCTCCCTAAGCTGATTTTTCCTTACTTTAACTGTTGTCATGGTGACGGAGGTAGATCTTACCTTTACTGGTAATTTAGAAGGAAGCTGTTTTGGCTTTTCTTTCTCTACCTGCTCTTGTTTTGGCAGGGCTGGAGTTCTTCTAGCTAGATTACTCCTGTGAGTGTTTTTTACAGGAATCCTAGACCTTGCTTCTAGACAGGGAGAAGAATTACTTGGTTTTGCTTTGTCAGGCTTACTAGCCCCTCTCACTTTACTCCCTGTATTGCTCTGGAGATTATTTTGTGAGCTGGCCTTTACAGGAAGCTTTGATTTTCCTCTAGCCCCTACCAACTCTGTTGACTTTTGCTGCTCTCCGTGTGGTTTTTGCTTATCTCTTACTCTGTGTCCTTGTGTTGTCCCTGTACCTTTTCCTGAAGTGCTTTTCGCTTGGTTAGCTTTCTGGAGGGAACATTTCGGTTCCAAATGTTCTTTTAGCACTACATTACTGGTAATATCATCTGTAGGGACAGCAGATGAATCCAAATTGTTGTTGTTATTAAAATTATCTTTTGGAAAATCAGTGTTTTCTGTTTGCCTACAGCTTGTCTCGCTAGAAGCTGAACTCGCAATCACCGCTACAGTTTCATTTTCTAATCCCTGACCACTTGGCATCACAGCTTCTATCTTATCTGTCACTTCGCCAGGGCCATCTTTCTTCAGAGTCATGGTGGAAGCAGAAATTCCCATTTTAATTGGTGTGCGCAATTTGGGATCAACTTTAGAAGCATTTACCGCTGCCGATGATTTTTCCAGGGAGTTACTACCAAGTGTTTGTTCCATGCAATCTCCACTGGCCTGGATGATGGGCTTATGTTCAACTGCTGTCGCTTCTACCGGTCTCTCTAGGTTTGTTTCTACAGTGTTGTCCCCTGCCTGTGGCTGTGTGATGGCAGTGACTGCACTTTTATCCCCTTCCCCCTTGTCCCCTGACTTCCCTTCAGAAGTATGCTCACCAATCTGAAAAAATTGGAGTCTTTCTTCAACAAAATCCCTCTTGCTCATGTCAATTGCACCACTGCGAGTCATCTCAAACATCTTCCCTTCATGAAATGGGAAGGGGTTGGGCTCGCTAGTTGGCGTACTTTCATCTGTTGGAGTTCTGGCTGGAGTTGTATCAGGTGTTGTTGCTTGAGATCTGTCTTCCACTGCCAGACCAAATGGCTTAGCCTCATCATCCCTTGATTTAGTCTCAAACACTTCATCGTCACCTCGGTTATTGGACCACGGATCAAAGTCTAGGCTCTTGGTGGCCACTGTTTTGAAAGGTGTTGCAAATTCTTCGTCTACTTTGTAACTGAAATAACTATCGGGAAATACAGTCCTGTCAGGGTGTCTGCCTTCCAAAGTAAAAAACTGTGCCCCTGACTTCTGTTCGCTCTTATCTCCGGCTTTTTCAGAGGCTGGACCCCTCGAAGGCATCTTGTCTTCTTCAGGGCCTACCTTGCCTTCCTCCTCAATGACTTCAAGCTTACTCTGGCTAAAGCAGCGATCGGTCTGCTTTAGAATGCCTTCTGTAGTCCATACGTCCTTTTTGGTTTCAACTGCCGGACCTGCAAGTTTAGAATCATTCTCAGTTAAACCATCATCTTCATCTTGCAAATCATAACCGTCAAGAGAGTCAATCTCTGTTGCATCGGTATCATGGGAGAATTCTGCAGTGGTTGCTATGGAACACTCTGTGACAGACTGGTCATTGTTACTCCCATTGTGCACTACATCATTCTGGGGTGAATCAAGCCCAATATCAAACTCATTAGGTTTCCCAGAAGGGGGATGTCCTAACTCTTTCTGTTTCTCAATCTTTTCAAGGGCTCTGGGTTTTGAGGTTTCTTTCTGGTCATCTTCCAGTTCTTTCAGTTTGAACGTATACTTTTTAAGTGGAACAGGTTGATAGAGAGATTCATCATCACTGGAGTCACTGACATCTGCTCCCGGTGGCACAGGAGACGGCGGCTGCACTCTTATGACAGGTTCAGCCAGTTGGCATTTGTCATGTTCATCTTGCAAGTTCACTTCTGTCATCTCCATTTCGCTTTCAGTGGAATAATGAGGCTTCTTTTCTGACTCGCCTTGATCTGCATCCAGTGGTGGAGGAGGAGGGAATTCAATGTAGGCAACTCTGTTACCTTTGGGTCTTTTGTTAGAGTCCTTATTTATATGATTAAGTAACACTTTGTCAATCTGTGGTTCCTCAACCTCTGCCTGTTTTACAGATGTTGACTTAGCCTCTGCTTCCTCCTCTGACTCCTCGGATACCTCAGGTATAGGACTTGGCTTGCCTGGGATATAAGCTATTAGGGAGTCAGGTGTTTTAGATGTAAACTCGTAACTCACTTCCTCTGAACTCGGTGTTTCTGGTGTTAAAGGGCTTTTACCAGAGCTATCTATAAAGGACACTTGCTCCAGTGTGTCATCTTCTGGACTACCTTGCGGAGAAGGAGGTTGTTTTTGCTGTCTAGCTGTGTAAAATGTGCCCCGTGTCTCCTGTACTGTCTTACTTTCCTGACTGACAATTTTTTTAATATTTCCTTGTTGCACCTCTTTCTCATACTGCTTTCCTACTTGAACAAAACTGACATAAACAGGCAAGGTCTTAATTTCTTTTACTCCCTCAGTGCTTACTAGTGGTGCAACTTTATCCAAGTAATCACTGGCACCAGCGTCAACTAACTCACTTGAAGGAAATTCTTTTCCTGGACTACATTCTAAAGAATCTGGTGATTTGCTAGGGGATATCTCTGTTTCCTCAACAGAAGGACTTAGGCCTATTGAGCTCTGCTGCTTGGTAACTTTTCTGATTTCTGAGTGTTTTAGTTTTTCATCTTCCACATAATCAATCTGCCTCTCAACCTTCTCCTTAATCACAGCTGACTGGGATACTTTAGCTGAAAGTTCATAGACACCATCAAGTGTGGTTCTCTTCTCCTCGACAATTCTGACTGGAATATGGGACACAGCAATTTCTTCTTTCCTTTTGGATATTTTATCAGCCACTTCACCATTACGTTCCCCCTCCCTGACAACAAATTCTCTGTATAAAACTCTTTTCGAGGGAGATTTTACAGTCACTTCCTTCACTTCTTCTGAATGAATTCCATTTGCTGCCAGTTTGTGCTCTGTCACAGTGATGAATTCACTTTTTTTGTCAGTTTTAGCTTCAGCATGATCAACATGGTTTTCTTTTACTGTATCTGGAACCAGCACATGTGCAAGCTTTTCTTTCTGTGTTTTATGATTAGAAGTTCCAGGACTTTCCCACGTCCTATAGATTTTTTTGTCCCAGTGTCCCTTCATTGTTGAGTCTGCGCCATATACCAGGTCTTTTGCTTGAGGTTCTGAAAAGCATTCTGGCACGCCTTTACCCATCTCAGTTCTTTGTTTTTGTGAGTCTGTAGCACGAGAGTCTTCGATAGGTTTCCCTTTACTTGGAACAAAGTCTTCCCGTATTTTCACCTCTTTCTGTAAAGCTGTGCTCCCATCAATGACCTCTACTTGCTTTGCGTGCTTCTCTCTGGAGTAAAACTGATACACCGGTAACTTACTTTCTTGCAATTTCTTTACTGGAATTTTGGAGTGTCCATCCAGCCTTTTTTCTTCTTGAGTTACATCCTTACTTCTCGGACTTAGACTTTGTTCAAATTTGAGCCTAATGGAACTGAGCTTTGATTGCTTCAGCTGAAATCCAGTCTGTGAAACCTCAGGTACTCCAGTCTGCTGAGCGCTTCCTTTGTGTTCCATAGTTTGTTTAGAGTCCTCTGCAGGTTGCACAAATATCCTTTTCTCAGGACTGCTGGGCAAACTGGACGCTTTTCTTTCATCCACCTTGGGAAAGCATTTCCCATCATGCGCATACTGCTTCACCTTACTCCACTCGTCACCGGATGACGGTAATTCAGAGAGCAGAACCTTCTCAGGGCTGCTGCTGGCAGAGCTCTGGCTAGAATGTATTTCTTTGCCATTTTTTTTATGCTGCTTTTTCTCCGGAGACTGTAGCTCATCATTCAGCTTCTCTGTTTTGTCCCGAAAAAACTGTGATACTTCGGTCAGTTTTTCTTCTGCCTCTTTAACAGTCCTGTCCACCCTGTCTTCATATATCAACTTTTCTCTACCTCTGTCTAATCTGTCCTCAGTAAAGCGCATCCACATCGCATGTTTTGGACTACTAACATCTCCAGTGTAGTGTAACACTGTCACTTTATCATAATGATCATCTTTAGACATTTTACCTACACCATTTTCAGATACATCTTTATAGATTTTGGAGAGAATCTCTTTTCTGGGGGCAGTAGCTACTTTTTCTCTGCATCGTTTATCAGACCCCTGTAACTCTGCACTAAGGGGTAGAGCATGGTCAGTAACTGACTCCTCAGTATCAGAGTGAGACACATCTAGCTTTTCTGAAAGAAGCATTTTCTCAGCAAACCTGTAAGACTCCCCTCTTAGTTCTGACAACTCATCATCATGGTATTCTATTGAGTGCTGACTCAAAAGCTTCAGTGTTTTGTAAGAGTCATCAGACATGAGTTGAGCAGAACTAGGGCGACTGTCTTCTTCCTGGGACACAGGAGTGTTAACTCTAGAGGATTCCAGATAAGAAGGAAGTGACTCTTCGGCCGTGAGCTCCTCTTCTTCTTGCTGACCTTGTTCGTCTGAACAAGGAAAAGCATCATGTTTTTCCAACTCTTTTAAGTTAATATCTCCCCGAGGTAAGTCTTTCTGATATACATACATTTCTTTTTCTGGATGCTTTTTTGTTTCTCTAATAATGACTTCAGTAGGTTCAGCCTGATTACCTTTTTCAATATGGACCTCTATTATTCGCTCCAGTTTGGGTTTCATTTTGCTGTCCTTCTCTGCATGTTGTGGTGAAGTTTCAGCAGACTTGCTAACATCGGATGTTACTGATGATTTGTGCTCAAACAGACCTGCCAGTTCTTTGGAAGGGTCACGTCCGGACTGAAAGGCTTTCATTATGTCATGAACAGACATTGTTTCCTCAATTCTTTCAGACGTGCTTTCAGCGCATGGAGGTTTATGATAAACCATCCTAGTTGTCGTAGTGATGTGAGTTTCTTCTTTTACTCGGACACCTTTACTAAGGACACACTTGTGGTCATCTTCTTCGCTGCTGCTGGCTTTCATCTGAAAAGCTTTAACCTTCTCTTTAATAGATCCAGCAGGTTTTTGCTCCAGCTCCATGAACGTAGGGGTAGGTTTCGAAGCCGGTAGCTCCTCTGCTTTCTGCTCTGGAATTTCTTCAGACGATGGTTCGTAGCTACGGATTACATGAACTACTTCGGTTCTTGTTTCTGTAATGACGGGAGGGATGGGTACATCATGGAAAAGTGGTTTTGGCCCTGTGCTTTCAGCACTTTGTGGGGCAGAAGGTGTCTTTTCACTCCTCGTTTCAAAGCCACTGTCAGATAAGGGACTTTTATCTTGATCGTGCTGAGAAAAGTCATCTGGAGACTCTAAAATAGTATCCGTTCCAAAAAAGGAATCTGCAATTTTACATAACTCCTTTTCTGATGTTGAAGGCCTCATGGAGGCTGGAGGCATTTTAAGTTTATGTTCCTGCAAAGCAATAGCTGGTTTTAAAATGCGTTTTTGCCTCTCTTCACCTTCTTTTTTCCCCTCTTCAAACTTGTACTTTATGTTTGTTAATGAACTGCTACCAATATCATTCGCTAAGTAATCAATAACTTTTGACAAGCTATAATCCTTTTCCGACATGGTTTTAGTTTTAATTTGGACCTTCTCTGGAACAGATATAGGAGGGCTTGTCAAAGCTTGCTGTCTCGCTTCATCAATCTCCTCTGTACTGAACTCTACCCAGTCATCCTCAGACAGGTGTCCTTGATCACTTTTGGATACTTTAGCCGACCCTTTACTTTCTAAACACACATCTTTTTTCAGAATCTCACTAACTTTTACTAAGTCCTCTTTTACTTTCTCAACAATCTTAAAGGGCTCTTCATCATCAATTCTACCCTCTTTTGGTATCTCGGGTTGGAACGGTTTCTCCTCTGCGACATCTGTCTGCAATATTGCCGTCATTCTTATTAGATCCTCTTTCATTTCAGCAACATCTTTCAGTATCTCCTGACTGGAGGATAAAGAAGATGGTGTGGACAGTTTGAGAGCAGAGGGTGCTAGAAACAAGGACGATTTTATTGGAGATGAAGTTCTATTAAAAGGAGGCTGTGTGCGTGCCTCTGTAGTCAATGTTTTAATAGGTGACAGTAACGCAGCAGCTGATTTTGTAAGAGAGGACGACTCTGGGAGCTTCTTTAATGCTGGTTCAGACAAAACATTGACTACAGAATATACTGGCACTGTTATTGTTGATGAAGTTACTGATGAGGTAGTTGCAGATATTGACCCAAGGGCTGTGTACAAAGCACCTGCAGGAGGAGTTCTCATTGACTGGAAAGCTGATGGTGCTGAAGACACAAATGACCTGAGTGGAGAAAATGACATTGTTGTAGCTGTTGAAAGGACTCTCTCAGCTGTGTCAGCAACTGCGTTAGCAGCACAACTTGCAGAATGTGCAGCTGCAGCGATCTTGTCTTGAAAAACAGCTGCAGCTTTGGATCCATTTACTAAGTTGGCAGAAGATGGGTATTTCAGAGGTGACACAGATCCATTAAGCAATGGTACATCTGTGTGCCCAGCTACATGTTTTGCTGGCGACGAGAGAGACGAGGCCATCATGACTTTAGAGGATGAAACAGCATCAACTGCTGACTTAGCAGGTGACACCACTGACTTTAGAGGGGAGGATAAAAGTGAAGATGCTGATGTGATGACCGATTTAAGTGGCAAACTTGAAGAGTACATGTTAATGTTGGATTTGGGGGATGCTGGAGGCGTCATGGTTATGGATGATCTCTCCAAGAGAGATCCTGCAGTAGTCACTGGAGATGTCCGAGAGGGGAATGTGGTAGTGGACGCCAGCCCTTTCAGACTGGCAGCTTCTGTGACTGCGGGAGCTCTGACGAAAGAGCCTGAAGTAACCTGTATATTGTACGGAGGCTGCGATACCACAGTTTTTATTGGTGAAGAGATTGTCCGAAACGATCTAATCGGAGATGCTACATCGCTAACAGATTTAACTGAAGATGTGGTAGAAGCTCCTAACGTGGATTTGATTGGAGAAGCAGAAGAAACAGACCATATTGATTTTAATGGGGAAGCTGTAGGAGTGTTAGAGGAAGAGCTTGATAAGGAAGTGAAGCCTGATTTGGTTTGCCCAGGCACTGTAATTGGAGCTGTTGTCCATGACTGATATGGCCGTGTTGAAAAGAATGGCTTGTATGAATAAGTAGCAGGTAGGGATCTTGTTGCTCCTGCACTCCGTTCAACTGTTTCTTAAATTGTTAAATTAAAATCAAACATAAAAATCAACAAAAATGATTGAAAAACAGAGAGACCAGAGAAGAAAATTGGTCAGTAAACGTTGTAATATTACAAAAAGCAAGTACAATTGTTTGCATGAGTTAGGATGAAGGAGGCAAAAGAAGATTTAAAAAAGGAAAGAAAAAAATAGGAATGAGCCATATACTGACGACTGGTCCAAACCAAAAGGCAACATGAAATGGAAGACAGAAAGCACATAGCAACCAAATCTGCAAACAATGAAGAACAGAAAACACAAAGAAGGAATCCATAAGGTAAAAATAAGGCCACATCAAAATTTCTTCTCTTACTTCCTATTGACTTTCTGATGTGCTACTTCTGAAATATTCATATTGGTTCTATTTTGCCTGTTTAGGTACGCCTCTGCTTTGCACAACTTTTAGAATTATCATTTTAATAATTTCTGTTGTTCTATTCAGATATTGAACCTATACAAAATATAAACTTGTGTAAAATGACATCATATAGCTAATTTTTCTTTTTAAACCACTCAGAACTATTTCATGCAGAACCCAAAATTCCTTTAAGTGACAGGCAATTGATGTGCAAACTGTGAAGCAACTGGAATAAATTCAAATCTCTATCTCCCATGCACAGTTCAGATATGCTTCACACTCACAAAGCCAATAAGAGCAAGAGCTTTTTCTTAGTCAATATCTTAAAAAAGAAAAAAAAAAGAAAAAGAAAAAAAAAATGAACTTTTGCATTTGTTTCTCATGCGATACTCCTTTTGTTTGGTAAAAAACTAAAGTAAAACTTTACATGAAATGATTTTAAGAAGCATATGTCATACATGAAATATGGAAAGTATGATATATGATAAAAGTGAGCAAGCAAAGCAACTGAAACAGTTTTTACTCATGCACAATATATCATGTCAAAACAAGCACACAGATTAATACATTTTGTATACTGTATTAAGCACAAATATGTAAACCTTACAAAATCATTTCACAAGAGGCCATTAAAAGAAGAGTACACTTTTTCTACAAGATGTAGTGTCTTGGTACCTTTTGAGGAGATTTCTTGTATCATCTCAAAGGCAGACCTGTTCAACTTTACATTTCTCAAAAGGTAACATTAGAAAAGCAGTCAAAGAACAATATATTACGCAAAAACTTCCTGGCAAGGACAAACCTGTTAACTCTTATCATCCTCCAGAACATTCAGCTTATTCATAGGCATTTAAAAAAAAAATCATCAACCACATTTTGCATCACAGGAGGTACTCATGCCAGAAGACAGTATTTCTGGGAATCCCATTACAGCATACATATGCTCTGGTACATCAATAACATTCAGAGAGTTGGCATTGAAAGTAACTTAGAGAGCTTTTTTTTCTTTAAACTTGGATTTAGAAGTGGAGGTAAGATATCTGAACAGCTTATTCAACATACCTTTCTCTGAACTTACACTAGTAATTTGTCAAACCCGCTTGATCTGTCTTATAGACAGATGGTAACTTACAGTGAAAGAAGCTTACCAAGGCTAAAAACTGATTTGTTAACCTTAAAAGCACACACATTCTTACAGAATAGCGAGTATTCAGTATACCACAGGTCCATATCCTGCAAGGAGAAATGTGCTGGTCCTAGAGAAGCCAATGAAGGCCCAGAAGGCAATGTGGATGGCTGGTGATATTGCAGTATGAGAACATTTAGGTTGAAGAGAGCTTGAATACTAGACCTGACTGGCACAGCCTATGTCAAAACACATCCAATTTTCCTTGCCGTCTTATTTTTAAGCACAAACATACTTCTCTTTTTTCCCCAAAAGAAGAAAACAGAGCGTACTTCATTAAATGAGCTAGACTTCATTATGAAGATTAATTAGCAGCAGCTGCTAACATTTACCAAAAGCTCATACAGTCCCAAGCACAAGAAACAAACTCCAAAATCAGTCTGAAAACAACTAACAAAACGACTTGTTCAGCAATTTGTATTTGGGTTTCCAAACAGGGAGCCTACTGCACTACGATGAGCTAGTCTATCACAACTGGCTAGTGAGGCAATCAAACCAACAGGCCCCCTTGTAACTGCTCTTTCTCCTGTTAAATCATGGATTCACACATGTTTAAAATCCTCCTTCTGTGCTCCTTATTGCAGTTGAGAAGAAGAACAGATACAAAGAAAATTCAGTAATTTGCCCGTGTGTGCAGCTATGACATAACTCAAACAGCAGGGAACTGGGCAATTATACTATTTTGAAATAGCAAAGAAATCCTCACAACTGTGGAAGAGTTCAGAGTGGGATAATATTCTAAAGAGTGGTTTTATATAACAGCCCTTTTTGGCTACTGGACACTTTTGGCCTTAACAGTTTCCATCACTCTGTATCCAAGATTTTATCAGAAAACAGATGTTAGTTACTACCTCCTGCGCACCCAGCTATGGTTCCTTGCTTGCAGCTCCTAACTGCAAGTGCTGAGCAAACCCATACAAGCAGCTCCCGCTCAGCCTCGCTCCTCTTCAGCTGCAAGCAAGCAGCCAGGACCGAGCAGGTTCAACCCACAGCTGTGGGAAGAGTCAAGGGGCCCTCTTGGTCCCTTTCACTGAGCACAGGAGGGAAGGGAATATCCCATCTGCCTTGGCTCTCTTGTGCACCAACACCGGCAGAGCCACAGAGCAAAAAATTTGCAGGTGTGCAAGTACACACAGGCTTGTGTGACGAAAAAGAACAACCCCTGCTGCTACCCAAACTGCGGGAGCTGTGCCAGCAGATTCACTGACAACAGGCAGAGGTTCAGCACTCGTAACCAATCACTGCAGAGACCCCCCTGCAGTGTAAAGCAGCCACAGCAGCAGTCCTGGCTCTGTGATGGGTAGTGTGTGCTCTCTGGATGAGCTGCTCCTCCAAGATCACATCCTCCTCTCACTCCAGCATGGTGCAGGTGGCAGTGGCAATTGCTGACTATGTGCTACATGTCCACAGGAGGTGGTGATCCTGCTGATGGCCAAACCACTATCTACCATGCCTTCTGGCAAACATAATCATTTTCGCATACCCTTTTTGGGTAGCTCACAGTCTTAAGTAGACCATTGTCAAAAGAGATAGAACAGTTAAAGAATTATCAGGAACTTCTACTGTGTTAACTTTTTTTTTTTTTTGAGTACAGCTCAAGTAAGTTTTATTCTTCTCTAACTTTTTGCAAATGAGACTTAATGAACCTTTGGTGAATAAGTAAGACTACTTAATTTTTTTCCCCCCAAGGGGGCCCGAAATACTAATTGTAAGCAACACACAGAGTCATCAAACTCCTTTCAAGCAACTTCCTTCTCCGTCTCTCTCAGTTCCCATCAAGCCTTTGACGATACCTTAACAAGTCCATCAAGATATCTCAGCAGATCTGATAGCTTCTTCAGACGCTTGAAGTCTTCTTCCAGTCCTGAGAAGTGTAATGTATTCTGAAGCACATCTGATCCAAAGAAGCCACAGATCTTATAGGACAATTAAACAGCAGCCATCCAGTGGGAATTCCCAAGACCCAATGAAGTTTGTCTATGGATTTTATGGAATTATATCAAAGGGCCTGTTGCAGGGTAGCAACTGAGAAGTCATGAGGGAAACAAAAGGCAAGAAAAAAGCCTGGGAATGGGGAACAATAGCAGTCAACCTCAGACAGGAGAGGTGTGGGAAGAAAAGCTAAGCCAAATACATCACTGTATTTAACAGGGAGTGAAAGGAATGCCACAGGTCTGGTCAAGGGGAAGATAAGTTTAAGAGGAAGCAATGTGTGATGCCAGGGAATAAAAAGCATCTGCAGGGAACAGAGGAAAAAGGGAAGGGGAGGAGAAAGAAGAGGGAAAATATAAAATGTGAAAGAGTCCATTTTGGCTAAGCATCTAAACATTTAATCACTTATCTGAACGGCATTCTCCAGCCTTGCTGAACCTTTGCATAACATTCCTTCCTACAGCAGCTCCCTCTAATCTTTCAAAGTGAAGAGGAACAGACTTGTTGAAAGCAATTTGTAATCCTCCTACTCTGGAGCTACACAGCATTCTAAAAAATTATTATATTTTTACTTAACTAACACATGTCATTTGCCAGTCAGGATTCTTCAAGCTCTCACAACACAAAAGTTCACAGACCATCCAAGAGTTTTGTTTTAGACAGGTGGGGTTTTTTTATCTTTTTTTTTCTTTTCCCAGAGTGACACCAAATACAACATTTATAGAAAAAATGTCTCTTCTTATGAAAAATCACATCTATACGGTTTAGTACTTTGGTAAGAGCAACTCACTCATTCCAGGCTCAGTCAGATAGCTGTAGCGCTTACGTAAAGCAAGGGAGACAAAGTTCTGGCGCCGGTCAGCTTTCTCCGTCTGCAACAAAACACAACACTGTTCAGTCCCTTTAGTATCGTTGTCCCCCACGTGAACAGAACAATCACCACACCTCAGCACGGTGGGCCGCGTTTTGCGGTGCGCATCCCCACGGGGGAGAACGGGTGTTGCTGTTCAGCTTTAGGAAGGCATGCTGAAGCCAAGTTTGGGCAAGCTGGCCGGGAATGGGCAGAGCCAGTCTCCATTCCTGTCTGTCATGTAATGAGTGTCGGGGACTGTGGAGCAGGGAGCATGGCTACTGGAGGTGGCAGAAACCTGCCGTGAGTGACTTTCTGGAGCAAGCAGGGAAGGGAGTGCAACCCTAAGAGTGACCCCATGGGGTCATTGCTGCTCAGATCATCTCTGCTTCTGAGGTAGAAGAGCTTAGGTAGCAGACGTAGCTCATGATCCTGCCTTAAATTATCTCAATACTGTATTAGCCCATTTAATAAACTGCTTCACGCCACTAGACGTGGTAGCACAATACTCATTCCCTGCAAAATAAACCACCTTTGGCTACAAACAGGAGACCAACACAAAAGACTACAGACACAGAACATTCGTTAAGAGTACAACTTTGATCAAATATTTCTCCACAAATTAATTTATCCTGAAAGCACATATACCACAATGTACACTGGCTTTAAAGTGAATACATTAAGGACAAAAAAAGGCATGGGTGGGGATTTTTTTAATAGGCAGAAAATGCAAAGATGCAGATTAGAAAGCAGACTACTATTGTTAACTAACACCGTAAGTTGCTGTGTTCAGTGGCATAGCTGCTGGCGTGATGTCTTAAATATTAAAAGTCCTTCAGAGATCAGCTCACTTGATTATGTGGCTAAAAATACGGTTTGTTTAGAAAGAAAACTATTGTTACAGCTATGTAATAGCTCTCTGGGAACAAATCCTGTGGAGAAGTGATGTGGTTGCTGTTATTTTTTAACATGTAAAGAGTGTTTTGGCTTGTTGGGGTTTTCTGCATTATTTTAATCAGCAGGTGGCTACTGCTATTTATTTGCCACCAGGAAGAGAAGAAAACTTTGCTGCTAGGTAAACAGGATACATCCATGCAGTTTCTTTGATAATGTGATCTCATTTATTACTACCTCTAATGAGTAAAATCCACTCAATTTCCTGACGGTCTAGGGTTGCAGTTTCCAGCAAGCAGTGGATTTTTAAGCTGCAAATATCTGAGGTTTATTTGAAAATAGATTTGTACACAATATTTAGAAATTACTCTCAGATATATTGCTTTTCCAGAAGAAATCAGTTTATTTTCAGGGGTAAAATATTATAGAGCACCATTGTGGCCTCAGAATACTACTTTCCTTCTTGGAAATACCTGTTACCAAAGCACTGGTAGTATTACTTCAAGAGATAAAATCGTATCCACTAAACTCATCTTGATTTTGCAAAAAAATGGGCTTGGTCTGAATTTTATAACTATATTCTTTTTCAGAAAAAAATTATCTAGATTTTAGACTGCTATTATTCAATGCCTGGTTAAATTTCATAATATACAATCACGTTTTTTTCTATACTTGTGCACTTTTACTGCTTTGCAACAGACTATCCTAAGTCGAGGATATGGTTATTCTATAGGTATCGTCTCAATGCCATAGTTAAAAATAGTTGTTTGTTTTCTCTATAACATATTACTTTTCTTCACTAAACCTGAAGGAAATAAAAACAGAAGACAGTGTTTATATTACCTCATCATCTTGATCTGACTCTGTTTCCTTTTGGTCCCAAGATGCATTGCAGAGACAAGGAATATTATAATGGACAGCAGGGAAAAGAATATCAGGATATGAAAAGGACCAAATTGGGAGCACAAAATGCAAGCTGATTTATAAGGCAAAGCAAATCCAAAATGTCAACACAAAAAGAAAAAAATCTTACATCCAATGCAAATCAACACGTGACATTACTGAAAGCATAAACCTATGACTTGCAGGCTGAAGCATGAGCTGTAAACGGAATCATAAAAATTATAGGAACTTGACACCACAGTAACAGGAGACTTTAAAAGCTTTCTACATATGGGAATAAAACATAAATTTAAAAAGCCTTTATCATACTCCAAAGCATTCTCATTACTGGCATTTCACAGGGTATCTTTATGACTAGCAGGAGAAAGAAAAAAAGGACAAAAACTAAAGGAGCAAAAATAAAACCAAACCAATCCTGAGGAAAATGTTTACTTTTCCTAACAAATACCTTTTTGTGTGCCGGCAGAGTGATATTCAAGTTGCAAACAGCTGTTTGTGGCAGTCCTTTTGTAGTCTTTGGTTCTTTCAAAAACGATAATCGACCACAAGGTTCCTGGCTGGTGTCTCGTACCTAGAAAAGACATTTTAGCACCATGTAGTAATACATAGCAATTCAGACACCTAGAGGAGGTTTCTGGAGAGTTTCTCAGAGTTCCTTTCCACAAGAAGCTATCTAATGGGTAAAGACCAATCTAACTGAGCTGGAGCTCAGTGGAGGTTCTGAAGGAGAAAACGTGTTACCACGGAAGAACTAGATCAGCCTTAAGCTCTCTGATGGTAAATCCAGACAAGACAAGATGTTGAGTGAACCCAACAAGGCAGTTTATTACTGGAATATTACTGAGAGACATTTTCTGCTGGCTTGCGTTTTTGCTGTCACGTTTTGCACTTGTGCTCACTACTTCTTTTGCACAGCAGTTATGACAAGGCTAAGGGAGGTGAGCGCCCATTCATGGTAATTTAAAGATGGGAACAGTCTGCGCACGCTTTTTGGAGGCATTTCTGCTGTACAGTATGTTATTGAATACATCTCCTTTGCTTAGTCTCTGAGAAACAGTGAGCTACTGGTAATATTCTGGAGGTCTAACTTGATATACGGTTTTAATAAAAGGCTGTGAATTCCTATCATGTATATTCTGGTCCCAGCTCTGCCAGCAGCTCTCCTGCAGCTTCGCATATTAAACAATGACACTTAGATTTTCAGGGAAAGTTGCTCCTATGGGGCCAAAAAACGGTTATCACCGCGGGGAGGGAAACCATCAGCAGAATTATTTGTTTTTTTTTTATTTTACCTTGATAGAGAATGGCAGTCTATTTTCTTTGAAAGCATAAAAATTAAAAACAAGCTGCTGTCCTCCTTTAGTCAAAGGGGCCAGATTTCCATAGCAATCAACATAAATAGGTTTTCCTTCCAGAACCTATAAAAGCAATAAATAAAAGTCAATAAAATCTCTTTTCATAGCAGATCCGTGCACACAAGTATATCATGATTTCCCCATCACAGTTCCCGAGTTTAGCGCAAATCCTCACTCAGATTAGACTTAACAACAAGATTAGAAAATCACAGCACGTTATGGCAAAGTATTATGAATGCAGGCAATTTGGGAAACTGTGAGCTACATGAGTGACTTTTCTGGAGCAAGAATGCACAGATTCCCTTCAAGAAGCAGTGTGTTCACCACAAACCAGCCCTACTCATGACTGTGTGTCTGCAGGGCCAATGGGAAGGCATTCCAGGTCAGCCATCCGCAAAGCCCAACAAGGGCTACTTGACAGCAGCATGTACAAAACCCACTGCAGACTGGCCTGGGGCATCCATCTGGAGATAGGTCCTCATGCTTCCCCTGCCTTGTCCTCCTCTGGCCTCTTTTCAAGCAATTTTTTGACACAGCCTTGCTGTGAACCTGTATTTAACTGGGTTTATAATGGCTTTTGCAGGACCTGTTGCCATTCAGAAAACACATTGTCCATGTACAAGCAGGAAGGCGGCTGCGAGTAAGATATATACCTCAATGTCTTTGCTTCTTGCAACTTCTTCAAAGTTCTCTTGTTGCTCCAAAGTTTTGTCCACTTTGTCATCAGTCATGCAGAAGCAACGCAAATTGGATTCCACAGGGTCATTCATTTTGGCAAATATCACAAACTTTGCCATATAAGGAACGCATATTAATTCTCTATAAAGCTGTGTTGCCAGTCCAACAGTTTCTAGCACTTGATGGCAGTCTGCGAGCCAAAATCTAAGCAAGAGAAAGCAAACCATTAAATCAACTTTTCATTATGCTCAAACATTGATTAAGACTTTGAAGAGAAACCATGTCCTGTGATCCTTGGCCATTTTGCATGTGTAGTGTCCTTGCAGACTTCCCAAAGCTGTAATTTTCCTTCTACTTTCAGTAGAGCTTTAACCATCCAAAAATGGGAATATCTGGCAACAAAATGTTAATATGCTTATTTGTCCCCTCTCACATCGCTATCTCATAAAACTGTTTATTTTAAGCCTCATTTGAAATCTAAGAGGGGAAATTTTATTTCTTGTGATCATATACCATATATAACGTGCTGATGCATTATTGTACACTTGATTTGCTAAAACAACCTCCTTTATAACACATACATAGAGAAAAAACGTCCCATATAGGTTGAAGTCAAATATACCCACAGTGATATTTCCCAAAGAGATACTGTTATTTTCTTAAGATTAGGAGTTTGATAACAATTTTGACACAAGTTATACGTATTTAAAATTTTAATCTAATTGGTTCTCATTTTATTAAGCTTTTTAGAGCTGTCAATGTTATGTACTGAATTACAAACTCTTTACCTGGCATAACATCAATTTTCTCCACCAGGATGCACGATTTGTACAGAACCTGTTGAATGCCTCCCATCAGCATTTAAGACCACTAAATCCATCAAGTTCATTTCAAATCATGATTTTTTGGCAAATGATATGTTTGTCTGAGTAATTTTACATCATTTTCAACTAAAAAGCCCCTGGCCAGAAACTAAGTATCTTTAATTTTTGAATGAATGTATTGGGTTTGTGTGGCCAGGTGTTGGCTGCAGGGGGACTGCGAGGGTGGCTTCTGCGAGAAGGGTCTGATGGAGCCAATGCCAGCCGGCTCCAAAGATGGACCTGCTGCTGGCCAAGGCTAAGCCTATCAACAATGGTGGTAACACCTTTGTGATAACATAAAATTTAAGAGGTGGGGAAAAAAACCTTCTATGTCACTTGCAGAGAGAGAGAGAGAGAAATGTCTTCACATATGCTAGCAGAGACACCAAGGTCAGAGAAGAGGGGCAGGATGTGCTCCAGGTGCTGGAGCAGTGATTGCCCTGAGTTGTGGTGAAGACTATGCTGACGAAGGCTGTCCCCCTGCAGTCCATGGAGGTGATGGGGGTGTAGATGTCCACCTGTAGCCCATGGAGGACACCATGCCAGGGCAGGTGGATGGCTGAAGAAGGCTGTGACCCCATGGGAAGCCTGCACTGGAGCAGGTGTCTGGCAAGACCTGTGGACCCATGGAGAGAGAAGCCCATGCTGGAGCAGGTGTGCTAGCAGAACTTGTGACTCCACGAGGGACTCATGCTGGAACAGTCTGCTCTTGATGAACTGCACCCCAGGGGAAGGACTCAAGTTGGGGCAGTTAGTGAAGAACTGTCTCCCGTGAGAAGGACCTCACAATGGAGCCGAGGAAGTGTGTGAGGAGTCCTACCCCTGAGGAAGAACAAGCGGCAGAGACAACATCTAATGAGCCGACCCATTCTCTGTCCCCCTGTGCCATTTGGGTGGAGGAGGTGGCGTAACGAGGAGTGAAGTTAAGCCCAGGAAGATGGCATGGGTGGGGGGAAGGTGTTATTTTTAAGATTTGATTTTATTTTTCATTGCCCTTCTCTAATTCGACTGATAATAAATCCTTTTAATTTCCCCAAGTCAAGTCTGTTCTGCCCATGGTGGTAATTTTTGAGTGATCTCCCTGCCCTTATCTCGACCCTTGAGCCCTTTTTTATGTATTTTCTCTCCCCTGTTTAGTTGAGAAGGGGGAGTGATAGGGTGGCTGTGGTGGGAACCTACCCTCCAGCCAGGGTCAGACCACTGCAAGTATGTTTTCATGAATTCTCCCATTTTTTTAATTGGATAAACATTTTAAACTTTCCGTTTCTGTTGCTGTTTGCAGCAAAACAACTCCCTGTATGGTACCACAGCCTTTAGAGAAGCAGCATGTGTGATTTCCAGGAGACCACAGCAGAAGAGGCCAGGACAAAGCTTCATCTGCAACCTTGGATATTTGGGATGCTGATACATAGTGACAAAGGAGCATTTGGTCCATTACTGCTTCAAAGCCAAAAAACAACCCCACAACTAAGCACTTTGTTAATCAAGAGAAACTACTCCCCTAGGTGTATTTGGGAAACTCTGTTACCATACCTGGCCGAAACATTGGTTGTGAATGAGACACAGTCATTTGCAAATGTCAGCGGGGTGGTGCCCGTGATATCCTCCCACTGCGCAGGGGAAGTACCTCCTAGCGAAACAGAAACCACACAGATTTTCTTTCAAACACACCAAGCACGTACAGACTACATAAAAACATATCTACCTTATTTTGCTTCACACATAAAAAGATGACCTAGACAATAATCTCCAACAGCTGAGCTGTTAATATATTACATCATAAGTTACACACCAGAAAATGATGCTGAGGTACACAGAGGACACACCTACAAGTCAATAGCAAGCCCCTCCTTGACATCAGCTAGGACAGAATTATTTCTGCAAACTACTTTTAAATCTAAAATAACATTTACTGTCTATTGGCAGAGTTCTTTTACAATGACATGAGACCAGATTCAAAGCCCAGAGAGTCAGTGTGAGCCTTTCAAATGACCTCAGCTGGCTTTGCTCAGGAGAACCGATCTGAACCCGACCGGACCGAGCACACCAATGTTCCCTCACGGGAAAGCACGAGTTGTAGTTACAGGAGTGAGCACAGAGGCACTGCTGTCACAGAAACCTTTGCAGAGAGGATGATTTCCTCTAACCTGTAATGCTACATAGAAGTCGAAGGCTGGGGGTCGTGTCTCCTTTGTACCCATTGGTTACACCTTCTCCTGATGGAGGCGGAACAGGAATTGTCATGGTTATTGGCTTATGAAATTTTCTTCTTCTTGGCTCCACAGTGACAATGGGACTGAAAGTTGCTTTGTTTCCAAGGACTTTTTTGACAATCTCCTCTGGAACTGGTTGAGCCTGTCAACACAGGGAAAGTATTTAAACTAGAGCTACAAATTGGCTATGGGCATACAGAACTGTTTTCCAAAAGATAATTCAATTTTCTTTTTATTTTTTTTTTCCTGTAGAATTTTGTTTCTTTTTTGACCCCAGGCAGCAACTCTTGAGGGTGATCATTAGTACAATTCAGGCTCGGTATTTTTCTCAACAAGCCACTTACGACTTCCAAATACCTAGCTTGTACAGCAAAACTATAAATCTCAGGTTGCCTGCAGTATTTGCTGAGCGTTTTTCAGAGCATGTTTGGGTTTGTTTTTAATTTACTGTGATCTATAATATTAAATACAATTTCAAAATGCAAGAAGAGGCTTATTTTGCACTTGAGAAGTGAGGACTATACATTTTCTTGGAGAAGTTGAGCAATTATAACTTCTCTGTCAAACACGAATCCATGCTCCTGAGGAACAGCATGTACTCTGACTTATCTCTGTACTCTGCTTGCCATGCTATTTCACTATTGGTTATTAGGAAATAAAGACCTGTTTGGCTCAAATTCATACAGAACGCATTAAGCTATAACCAAATTTCAGAATTTCTACCTCATTTTTGTGCCTTGAAAGGTTTACTAACTATATGAGGAGAAAGAAAAAATTGCCAATATGGTAAGAGATGCTACAGAATTTTTGTGGGTTTTATCGTGTAAGACCTGAACTCAAGTGACAAACATCTTATGGGAAACGGGCTTTTGCATCTGTTGGACAAGCCTGTTTCAATCAGGCTGACCTGTGACTTGCTGCATTGTTTGAACAGCACAATGTATTGGTATGCACAGAATATGTAGCTACATTCCAATCTCAGCAGTCACATCGATGCATACAGAGACATCGTGCTTCCCTCACACTAGACAGCTCTGGAAAGGCAGCTGTATAATCGTTTCAGCAGAGCTTCCATTTTCTCAAGATTAATCATCTTTAGATGTGAAACATCATTAACAGAAAGGTTCCAGTGTGAATCCAAGCACTGAAATCCAAACCAGCATCCCTGTTTCATGAACCCATCAGACTTGTCAGGTTATTAAATAATTTTAAGTGATAATTAACAGAACTCAAAGAAGAAGATACCTCCTACGGAATATTTCTCCACTTTCTGTGCAGCTTGTTTAAAGAGAGTTTATACTATTTGCCCTTCCCAGATTCCACCCATCGCTAGAAACACCGATGGTGAATGTCCTAAGCTATAGGAGGTCTTTGACCCAGTAACAGCTGGTAAACAGCTGCATGAAATCCTTACCAAACACATTCTGATGGCAAAGGGCAGCCCAGCAACACCTACCACAAGCTGCTGTTTGCCTCAGGAGACTGGGAATGCACAGCAGCCGTGCAGCTCAGAGCTGCCAACTGTTGTGGTCAACAGGGAAACAGCGTATGCGATCATGGAGGCCATGGTGGCTCCAAGCCTTTGCTTCCCTCTCCATTCTGGAATATTGTGTCCAGTTTTGGGCTGCCCAATTCAAGAGAGACATGGACCAACTGGAGAGAGTCCAATGGAGTCCAAAGGATGATTAAGGGACTTGAACATCTCTCCTATGAAGACAGACTGAGAGAACTGGAGCTGTTTAGCCTTGAAAGGAGATGGCTGAGAGGGGACCTTATTAACATATATAAGTATCTGAGGAGTGGGTGTCAAGGGGATGGGGACAATCTCTTCTCAGTGGTGCCCAGTAACAGAAAAAGAAATAATGGGTTTAAGTTAGAACATAGGAAGAACGTAGGAGAAACTTGTCTACTGTGAGGGTGACAGAGCCCTGGCACAGGCTGCCCAGAGAGGTTGTGGAGTCTCCCCCTCTGGACACTTTCAAGCCCCGCCCGGACGTGTTCCTGTGTGACCTGCCCTAGGGGATCCTGCTCTGGCCTGGTATTCTATGATTCTATGATTCTTCAGATGCTAAGCAATACTCAAGGTGATGATAAAAGGGGACCTGGGCTTTTTCCACAGGGAGAAGGACTACATATCACCTGTACCAGGGCGACACCAAGAGGCAGAGAGCGTGCCCAGGCAGACACATGCCAGTCCAGATCTCAGGCGTGAATATTGCCCTCCTTGCAACCCACCACCAAGGAGCAGCGGGCTCTCTAGCTGTGAGCCTCATGCTTAAGAACAACTTGCAGAAAACTGCAGATAGAAACACAAGAGAAACTTTACCTGGAGCCCCACACGAATTCTTTTGGTTAGAGCACCCTCAGGGAAGGATGCCTGGACGCGTGGTACCGTCGTGCTGCTCAGCACCCCGCCCTCCGGGCCGATTTGGTTACTCTCCTGCTTGATTCGCGAAACTACTGCAAAGTACTGAGGGAAATCCTTTGTGACAATCCTGCAGATACGCTTCTTCTCTAGTTCCTCAGTGCTGTCCAGCTCTGGTGGGAGAACACAGTTAAAACATTCAGGCAATACCTGCCCAGGTTGTTTTGGTTTTCTTTATTTACAAGAGGAAAAAAAAGTTTAGTGTGATTAACTATCAAGCTTTGGTTTGCCCTGTGATCTTTTGCATAAATCTGGACAAAGAGGGCCAACAGCACTGGGCAGAGATCTGCCAGGACACATAAGCACTAGGGTGTGACAGTCTCTGCAGCAGGAGCTGCCATAGGACAGCAGGTTTGTCACACAGCACGGAAGTCCAAGAAGGCCTGAAGGAGACGGTCAAGCTTCTTTCCTCTCTGATCTATATCTTGAAGCGCACAAGTGCATTGATCTTTCTGCATACACCTTTAAAAGACATTTATTTCCAGCTTCCTCCCTAACATAGCTCCATCATGCAGAAAACCACAGGAAACTGCAGTTAATTCAGGAACTACCTAACTCCATGTCAAGTGCACGATCCAGAGTTTGTCCAGCTAGGGCACTTGAGAAAGTTATCTCCCAGACTGGCATCCATATAACCCCGACCAGTTCTCCAGTAAACTGGGGATGTGACAGAGCTCTGTCTGCCAGCACTACCAAGGAAACCATAGCAAGGATCTGTACCCACATCGGGCTTTCAGCCATTGAGGTATCTGCCCCAAAATTACTGCATTGTGCTCCTCAGTTCCTAAAAAAACCTTAATGCATCCTCAGAAACAACTGGAACAGAAACAGGACGTCAACAATTAATGCTTTTGGTCACATTCCCAGCCCATAGGGTCAGCAGGACTCAGAAAGGTTCATGGAGTATCTACCTATATTAACTAATTAATTAAGCAGATGATACAGACATATATGCACTTAGGAAAACTATGTGATATGTCACAAATACAATAAATTATGCAACTGCATGTGTGCGCGTGTATATATATGCACTAATGAAATCCCTGTGATGTAAACACTATTCACAAATGGAGATAATTACATAAGTGTCATGCATTTCTCCTATAATTTCTTGCACTTGGCCTTAGCTATTATAGTCAAGTTTCATTCTAGCACTGCACAAGTTTCTACTCCTAGTTTCCTCCTTAAAAAGGGCACTACACTGCTAAAGAAGAATGTTTGTTCCTCGAAAGATGACATTTCTATCAGATGCTGTAAGAAAAAGCAGGAGGACCAGAAATGGTACCAAAACAAAAGACACTTTTAAAATTCTTTATGTGACTGAGACATTTGCCTCCTCTGATCATGTAGGCTCAATTACAGCTCCAAAAGAATTAGAATATAAATTTGGTAAAATGTCAGTTTTCCATTTTACAACTTTCACCAGTAATTTGGATTAATTGCACAGTGTTGCTGTGGATGATATGTACCTACCAGAAGAGGATAATTTCTTAGCACAGTGTTAGCTTCCATTTACTTTGACTTAGAGATTGATATCTGAAGCCCTCTTATGAATTAAGTATTCTGCCTGCAGCCTCTAGAAGCTATGGCTTGTGCAGGAGACAAACTAGTCTCTTAAACTCCCAGCCAGGTATAATCTTGACTGGTAAATCCTATGCATTCTCCAGTTTGTTGCTAGAGATTAAACTCACGCTCACAGAGATGAAGGATAATTAAAACTCTCCTCAAGTAGAAAATTAGTGGTTTATATAATAACATTTGAAAATCCTTTGAGCCTGGCAGGTGCTCTGCTTTAGAGGAGGAAGATGTGAAGATTAGAGTAGCAGAACAGCAATCAGGCATGGAGAGGAGCTGGACTATGCATAGGGAGGTTATGTTTGAATAATACATATGTAAGCTTCTGTACGAAGTTGCCCTCCAACAGAAAAAAAAGATGATGAGCAATCAAACCACCCCTCTGACTGCCACGAGAAACGCAGCGTTAGCATGACAGAATTAATGAAACAGGGAAAACTAGTCCTGCGAGAGGTCACGTTTCCCCGAACAAACCTCATGCATCTTAGAGAAAGAGCTATCGCCATCACTATTTTCCTCAGTTGCTGACACTTCACTCCTATGCAATGTGTTTCAATTTAAAACTTCGAATGATTTTCTCTTTGTTTGGGGATTGTGTGTTGGTTCTTTTTTTTTTACCACAGAGAAGCATGTTATACACCTCATCTTACAGACATGGATGGCAAAGCAGAGAGAAGTAAAGCAGAAAGATTAGTGGCAGAACTGGGCAGTGTCCCGATGTCACGGTCTCCCAGATTTGTGCTAAGAGCCCAAAGAACACCTGTGGCGATTAAGTTTTAGTAAGTCAAGAGAAAGGTATTGCAAATACTCTGTGTGTATGTGTCTTCCCCTGCCATGCAAGTGTAAGGTACGTGTATCCGAAGGTGGGAGTGATGGGGAAGAGATGAGAGGGACAGAATGAAAGGAGGATCATTCCTCTCCACCACCTACTCCAGGCTGCCACAGGAGGGTTATTTTAAGGTTCCTGGACAGGAGAAGTGAAAATCAGCGATGTCCTCCAAGGTCAGAGAGGGACCTCACACAGGGTGGCACAGGTCAAGGAAAGCAATCACACCATTTTTTTCAGGTGAGAGGTAGCTGTGGATCAAATTAATCCCAAGTCTAATACTTTTCTTTTTTGCTTTCAGATAAAGTAATGCAGAACAAGTATCTTATGACTTGACATGGAGTAAGAAGTCACAGAATACCCAGCTGTTTCATGAGCTTCAAGGTGTCTGTGTGATCTGGTGTCCGATTTCCTTTACCTGGGCCTTAAAAGACTTTTGGTGGTACTGAAAAAGGAAATCTCACCCGTACTTAGACTGAATAGTTCTCTGAGTTTTGCAACCCTCCTGCAGTAAGGGCTAAAGCAGAGCTGACCTTGCCACTGTGCACAGTCTGAAAGGTGAGACAAGCACAGGATACCAGTTTCCCCCCCCCCGGAGTGATGTGCCCATTAAAACATTGTTGCCCTAGAAGCCAGGCACCCAGGAGGCAGCGCTCGCACAGAGAAAAGTACAGGAGCCAGACGGAGGCAGAAAGAGCACATGAGAAAGGGCAAGGAGAAGCTGAGGGCAGAGAGACTTGTCTTAACAATGCTGGTAACTAAACCCACCCTCCCAGCTTCAGTATTCCACATACATGACTAGATGCTCCCAGTGTCACAAGCAGGTCTCCTGCTCAAATAAAACAACACGCTGTATGTGCTCTTTTGTCTGTTTTTGCACAGTCTCTTATCTTTCCATTCACAACACTAAGTTAAACAGCAATATCTTTAAAAACTTTTCTTGGAAACGTGGCAAAAATCACTGCAGAGTGATTTATGGTGGTATTTTAAACTTCAAGGATAAACAAGGTCGCACTCTAGTTTGATCTCTAGATTCAAATAAGTAGTTATGTAAAAACTCCTGCGTCCCATCTGTGCAGCTGCAAGCATATAGTAGCCACAAATATATGCTTTTCTTGGCTCCCTCACTAATTTGCAAATGCCTGTGAAAAGATTAGCTATTCCAGTGTGTGCATTTTTTCCCACTATTTGTCTATAGGTACCTGTAAAGAGCGCAGGAATGTAAAAAGTAAACACAAGTTATACCTACAAGAGGCCTGGCTGAAAACATAACCTATTTACCAATTACAACACAGAGAGCTTCTTCCTAAAAAAAAAAATTAAAATAAATTTTACTTGATTCAAGTTTAAATAAATGTAATAAAGCTGAAGGCTGTGAATTGCTACCCTTGTGTTCAGAGCCAAATGCCTCCTCTTCCTTAAAATGCAAAGTTGCCAGTATTCCTCCAGCCGTACATTTGTGTAAGCACAGCATCGTCTTTAGAATAAAAACTGTTTAAACAGAAATCTGATGGCACCAAAGGAAAACTGACTCGTTACATCACGGTTCATTGTCCTCTCATGATAATCAAAGCAAAGCTCTGCTATTATTTAATCCTGCCTTTAGTACCCTGAAATGTTGTCTCCTGCTCTGGATTATTTTGCGTCTGAGACCAGGTTTCCCAGCAGATGGTGCTGCTTCCAGGGAAGAACATGCAGGTTTTCAGCAGCTCCCACCAAGGGAGAAGAGCAAAGATGTCCTCACTCTGCTCCCGGCTAGCTAATGCGGAAGAGCAAAACAGAAAAAAACCCCAAAAACAGAGAAGCAAATAGCATCTTTAAAAATTCAACATATTAAGGAGCTGGGAATAAAACTCTGATTGCCCTCCTTCACCCCACAAACAGCAAAGAACTGGTGAATCACAGCAGGTCTAACACAAAATGGACCATCTGCTTTTAATAGGAAAATGGGCACTCCTGCAGCATGTTACAGCATTCAGAGATGACTGCGCAAATTAATTTTCTTGCAAAGACACCCTAAACTTCTGGAAATGACTCACTATGTGGCTGCTTTTTATTTCAATTAAAGATTGCTTCTCCCTCCAGAATTCACACCTGGAACAAAACTTCTTCCAAAGTTATGGTTTCTGAGATGCAAGATCATCCGTCAGAGCCAAGTCTAATTGCTGTATTTTGTTAACAAACCAGTAAAAGTTCAGATGACAAAAAAAACTCCAACAAACCACTCAATTCTACAAATTTGTGATTTTATGTCATTGCTTGGAAGACTTTTTACAAAAAAAAGGTGTCATTTAAGACAAGTTTGTTTCATTTTGTTTTCCTAACTAGAGAAGGTTTAAGCTAAAATGAACTGAACAAAAAACACAATGCTCTGGGTGTGCCTACAGTACTCTTTCTCCTTTTTATCTCATAAATGATTGCCGAGATTGGTAAAAGGCATTTCTGCAGCTTGGCTCTTAAGGTGCCAAATATTTTCACTTGAAGAGAGTAAGCCCAGCGTCCGCCACACTTTCGGTGATTCACTGGCTGCACGTGGACCCGCTAACTTTACACAGCAATTCCACAGAAGGGAAGAGCCACGTGAAACCCTCAACAGATCAGAAAGTTGTACTCTTGCTTCACATTGTGAAGCTTATTATTTTAAACTCTGCTCTGAGGGCTTCATGCCCACCTCTCTCAGAGTGGTTTTGTTTATTGAGCTCTCCTCTCTGTAAAATGTGAGCTGACCCATATGGCACCTCTGGAGAGCTCTTTCCTACGTGATGCCAGATGGAGCACTTTAAAACATTGTTTTCGTGCCCAGATTTCCTATCCCAAAATTGAACTAAGCTGAATTTGGAAAGCACATGAAGCAAATAAGCAAGTTGCTGATCAGTTGAGACTACCTCACCACTGACAAGGCATCGATACTTCACCCAAATGCCAAATTATTACTTCCTATCTCATGCCAGTGCACAGAGGAGGGGGTGGTGGCTGAGAGATTTCTTTCAGAAATGCTGCAACTACTGCCTTTGGTCCTGAAACAATTCTTTCCCAAGCGATACTAACTCTGGGCCATGCTCAGCCTTTTGCGCGTTCCACTGCTTGTAGGTACCTTTCTGTGATGAGGTTTATTGCATTTTTCCAAGCCCACTGACCCAATATTTACAGTGTTTCTGTCCTACTGCTTGACTGGTTCTATATTTATTTCAGAATTAAAAGCTACAATAGATTATCATATATGAAACAGATCTTTGCTATTGCTCTGTATTTTTATAAGCTCCTGTGAAGTTTAAGTGTTTTGAAGTGAAAAGACTACACAGGTCCATTCTGCTGTTCCCATTTCCAGATGACCAGGAAATCAGAAAAAATGCTAAATGTTGGACGTCCAGGGAGCCCTTCACAACAGCACTACTCTCCTTTCCATGTGCTCCTTTGGCTGAGGCTGCACTCTTCAAACAAGGAGAGGTCAAGATCACAGGCAGAGGCTGCTCAAAGATATCTATCACAGCCGCCATCCACAGCCTGTTCATTTGCTTCAGATGCTTTCCTGAAGCTTGTACCCCACCACACTACGACTTTCTGCAAGAGGCTATCCAGAGAAAATCCTGGGGATAAACCCTTATAGAAAACCAAAGTCCAAACCAGAAGCTATTTCGCTCACACTCAGATGCAAAGAGCTCAAGAAATGGTTTCTCAGCACAAGTATTGAAAAATACTTGCTAGGAAAAGAAAACAGAGGTGCCAAGGAATCGCTGTAGCTCCAGCCTGGCTTTGCCCACATTGTGTCCATAGGGGTCATCTTCTGACGAACTGTGTACCGCTGAGTCCTTTCGTCTCAAGGGACTCTCACATAAACGGCAACATGGAAGCAAAACAAGGGAGCCAGACTTCCCAGATGGGCATCAGGAAGGCAGGCTGGGTATTTGTGGGAGGCACCCTTTAAGAACACAGTTTCAAAAAGAAGAATGGTCTGTCGGCTGAGGTCTGCATCTGCAGGGAAGTCTGATATAGCTGATATTTACATTTCATCGTTGGTTTGAAATGACCTTCACATGGCCCTGCCTGAACAGCAGAAACATGCTTACCTCCAGCTGGGATGTTATTCTCAACTTCATGCTATAAAGCAACTGCGCCAGTTCACTTAAACTTGGCAGGACTTCAGACCAAAACTTATCGCTCATTTCAGGATGTCTCCAGGCCACCACTGCACAATTCTCTTTCCATTAGCTTAATATGTAACACACTCTATCCCCCAAAGTCAGATATTTCCTGCACTGTTTTACTTCAAGTTGCTTTAGTCTGCCCATGTTAGCAAGCCTGCACAAAGGTAAGGCTTGCTAAAGCTTTGAGAAATTGTTTACCTTCATCCATGCCATTGAGTATTTCAGTTAAGTCTTCATGTTTGCTGTCATACTGGTGCTCTTTCCACGTCTCACCATTTTCACTTCGAAGTACAATTAGTTCTCTTTCTTTTCCTCGCATGGATCCAAAATGTGGGATTTCCACTATGACAGGGCTAAAGAAAAAGGAATTGTATTATTTTCACTCCTATATCTCATCACTGCCCTTCATTTCCTATGGGCATTCAGTCTTTAAGAAAACTACAGTCATTTTAAACAGTTAGCACTGTTAGGGTAAAAATGGTTTTCAAGTAGCCAAAGCTGCACAATCCTTTATCATTTAAACTATAATTAATAGGCAACTTGGAAATATTCATATATAGCTCATTTTAAAAGTAAATCTTCTGAAACAGCTGCCTACGTGAAAAAACGGTGACAACTTTTGCTAAGTAGAGTTCTCCCTACACATTTACCCCAGGATGTTGGTGATCCAACCTGCCTCCAGCATACACAGCACCAGTAACTTTTAACTGGCATTAGCAGAGTCAAAATTTGGATTTGGCTCAAGGGATTTGAAGGTGCAAAGTCAATTCGGAAACAGACCAGCTACCCAAATGCATGCAATTGACTGCAGCAGGAACTGCACATGCATGTAGGTTTTAAACCTCAAACTAGGTCCAAAACTTTTCAAAGCTCTCCCTGGCTCTCTGTTGATGCAGCTCCTGTGAAACACAAGAAGTTGCTTCTCATTAGCTTCACTTCCTGGTTCTCACGCCCAAGCCCACAGCTGCAACATCTGCACTGTAAACATCACTGGGCAATGTTTAGATCCTTTCAGAATGGATCTCTCCGCGTTGAGCAACGTCATGACCACATTTATATTAGTCACTGTCAAACAATTTGGGAGGAAGGAAAGGGAATGAGAGGGTGGTTAATAATACACCTATGTCAGCAGACGATGTACCTTCAACAGAGGACTGCAAGAGCATTACTGAACAGGTACTGTGAACATCCGACAGAAACCACCACTCACTTCATGTGCCATTCCTTAACAAAACAGACACTTTTGCCAAACACTTCACAGGCAGGATCACGCATTTTAAAGTATGCTGAGACAAACCGACTGAAACCACACAGTAAGTGAACAATTATGGATTATGCAGCTTTAAGACATTTAAATAGACAGTATCATTATTTTCCTACAGAGGTTGTAAAGGGCTTCACTGCTTTGTAAAAACTCAGTTAAAAGTAGCGTCACATGATGGGAGAAGTATGCAGCATGTCTATAGTACTTTACACCTGCAAGGTGCTGGGTGCATTAACCAATCAATTACTCAAATGTGGAAATCACAGCAGCCATCATGAGATAAAACATAAACTAGCTGGAAGTCCAGCTTTCACATTAAATATCAAGGGAGAAGACTTCAACAGTATTTTTCCCATGAAAATCAAACAAAGACAGTATAATTAGCACATATTTTAGCTGCCTTTAAGAACACGCAGCCTATTACTCCAATCTCAAGTCCTTTAACAAGAAATAGGAAGGTAGCTGCTGTCTCCCATTGTGCACAGCAAAAATTCAAATACATTGCTTATTTATTCTCCAGTTCAGAAAGAGTACAAACTGAAATCTAACACAGTAGTACAATCTTTGCAGGCTAATATTTCAGATACTGTCTCTGTAAATATTTAGAAACCACACAATTTTGTGCATGACATTTAACAAGAATACTCAGTGAGAAGGTATTGAACAGGTTTGGGACACCAAACACTCACCAGTATTTTGAAAACCTAACGCAATAAATTTCACAATATGGTTTGAAAACAACAGTTAAAAATATACGGAAACATTCTCACATTTTTAGACTACACACTGCAGTTCCTTTGGGTGGCATAGTTGGCTTTGAAAATTTATTTTAACAAGATGCCTCTTGCAGGTTGAAAAGATTAGTAGTTCTCCAACCTTGCTCAATGAAGTCATTCACTCAATGACATTTTTTTCTAAATAATCTTTCGTAAATAATAGACTTTACAAAACAGACTCACTCAAGGCCTGTAAATACCTTCTCTACCACAGGGTCGAACTTAAAGGACTGTCACTGTGTATTAAAATGTATTTGATGCAATCGAAACACTTCAAATTTAAAAAATTACAAAAGCACAGAAGTTATGAAAGCAGAATGCTGGCAGTGAATTTTACATGCCTATAAGCACAAGGTAGTAGCAGAGCTATATTAAGTCAAGCCACTATGATTTTCTTTCAGTGACATAAATCAACTGAAAGCTTTCGAAAACTTAAAAAAAATAAAATGGGAATAACAAAAAATTGGAAACAAAAGAAAAACTGTAGACATTCTGTATCTTTTCCGTATATATCCTACCCAATAAATTTTGTTCCTTGTGGACCAAGCTGCAGGATTCGGCTAACCATGCTCTCGCCCTCATTTAGAGGGGGAGGAGTGTTAGGAAGATGCAGTTTACTGAATAACATCCATGCAGCAGGAAGAGAAACGAGAAGGGGAAATTAGGAACAAGCTGTCATTCCCAACAGAACCAGCAGTTTACACCAGGGTGCCACTCATGGTAACGAACAAAATTTATAATTAGGAAAAAAAGCACCACATCATAGTGGATTGTTTCCCCTATTTTAAGCTTTAAAAAAAGTCAGTTCCCAGCATTTGTACTACTTGATGCTCTACAGTGAGCGCTCTGCCATCGCTCTCAGTGGCTTTGTTCCCCGGGACGGAGACAGGCAGCTCCCAGCACGTGCCGCGGCTCAGGGCACAGAGCTCAACATTTGGGTCCTTCTGGGTAACTTAGGACGCTTTTTTGTGACAGCGACGTTTCTCCGATACTCTATGAGCAAGAGGGTCAAAACCTGTTCTGAGTTATAGGCGTGTGACTCCTCCTGACTTCCAGGGCAGGCTGCGTGAGCAGGCGGGGTAGGACTTGGCCTTTTCATGGCTTTCCTTACCTTTGGCTCCGCCCTGCAGTCATCGCAGAGGGAAAGCTCCCCATAAAATACAAAAGTATTTTCTAGAACGAACGTCAGGTCGGCACTTGTTAATATTTCAAGTTAAGTAGCCTGTTTTACACGCTCAAATGAGGTAGAATCAACATTTAACTACTCAGATCCACAGGATAAAGGAAATGAAAGATGCGACATGAGTGTAAACAATGAAATTCATAGAACAACTCACCCTAAAAACTGTGCCCCTGCTGGTCCCATTTCTACAAGTCTACTTGCTAATCCTTCTCCTTCAACCATCGGTGGCGGGCTGGCCAGTTTATGCCTCTTTACCAAGCGGCAGGTGATGCGGGTTGGCGCCGTACACTTGCGTGGTGGGATAATTATTCTCATTCCATGATGGCGACTACCCCTCATTGAACCCCCACGTGCATCAACCATAAAACTAACCAGGAAACTGTAGGGGGAAGGAAACACGTCAATGAAAATGGTCACAAAGCAGGCAGAAGATCAGCAAAAAGTCAACCACCACAGTTTTAAAAACATTATTTTAAAACATTATCCTCCCGATCCCAGCTAAACTAAAAAGAACAACAAAGATTCTTTTAAAGCTTATACTCACATGTTAACTACTGGTTATCAAAAGCAGTAATTGCTAAAGGTCTAGCAACATCAAGGTGAAACGAACAGGTGCTACTGAGTAATATGGATTAGAAGAGTACATAAGTAGTCTATTAGTAGTGGTTTATTAGGATTTAAAAAGATCTCTCTGTTGCTGTTAGCTCTACTGCCTGTAAGTAAAATTAGCCTCACGTGCAGAAAGGAACCAGAGTGTGGAAAAACGACAATCAAAAATGCTTATTATTTTGGGGGATCTCAGTTTTCAAAACCTCCTCCCAGTCTCATTTGCAAACACTCCTGATGGCTGGCAGAGTGCATGAGTGCTGGCACCATGGGTCACAGTCAGTCCAGGCTGCTAAGAGCTTCCTCTGATGCAGAATGAGTGAGAATATCAAGTACATTATTTTCTTTAGGCTGCTGGCACTCTGGAGGAAATCGTGCCATTACTCCTCTGTGAAGTGGACTTTCATTAGCAAAAAGCGACATTAAAGAAAAATCACATTTGCCAGTGTCGTTCCAATGCATAATTTTCCATTTAATAACCGAAGAGCGAGCAATTATACTCTTTAAGTAGTGAGTGGTAGATTTAAAAATAAAATTATTTTTATTAGCAAGGGAACAATGGACATTAACAAGAATAATCATTAACAGCCGTGGTTTATTTCACCTATGGAATGCTGAGAAGCTGTATATGTGAAGTGTTACTGTCTTTAATACAACAGTGACAGGAAAATGGATTCTCCTGCCAGCTCCAAAACCAAGCTTCAGCCTGTTTCAAAACTCAGCACCAAAAATCTTCCTAATTTATGGGGATCAAAATATACAGCTTCCTGGAGGACTAAACAGCTATGGAAGGCCTCCTCTGGTGCTCCAGAATACCTCCCTTATCCTCTGTACAATGAGCTTCTGAGAGGGACACAGTTTACCAACTCAGTGTTGATGCCAATATATTTTTTGTGTGCTCCTTCTGTACGATAATGCAGACACTGATACAGCCAGCACATCCGCTGTATGCTTTCCCTAATTTCAAGGCTGTGGCCAAAACTTCCAGATCCTAAAACTAAACCTTTGCATGATGAGCAGGTGAATCCACTCGATTTCCCGGTTCCCTACTGTAAACTCAACTTAGGGTACGAGCCAATAACCCAGGGGGGTCGTGAAGCTTCTTTTTAAAAGCCCCAAGTGCTCTGAAGCATGAATGGGAATTTGTGTAAGACTGTTACATTTGCCTTTGAGACCAGCAGGATATCAAAAGTAACAGCTGACGCGCATTGGCCAGGCCTGCAAATAAGCTGCGTTCAGAAGTCCGGCCAACGTGGGTGGGAAAAATCTGCACAAAAGCAGGAGTGTAATCAAAACCTTGGTGTTTAGTGGTCTGCAGGACACAGCTGGGTAGGGACAGTGGCTGTAAAGATATGAAACAGGACAGAAAGGTTGTCCAACCGAATTCCAGATAGAGAAATTGCTACGTTGCCTTTCTTCAAAGGAAATTAAAATCCATCAATAAAGACAGGGAGGTGAAACAGTCCCCCGAGGTGACTCTAACCCAAATTTATCATTTCTTGTGCCTCAGACACTTTATAGTGCTGAAGTATGGAATAAAATCCATGATATTTCACAGCACTTTTCACACTAACAAACTGTATTCAGTTTCTATCCTAGATAAACACACCATACAGTACTGAACATACCAAAACGCTGCTGCTAGAGCATTCCACTTCCTCATAAAAGGATTTATTTCAGTGGGACAGGATCATTGCTGAATGCCTAACAAAGCATTTTCTTCAAATATTAGATGTATGCCAAAAATAATATACTCAATCTTTAATTTATAGAGTATATAAGTACATATATATATAAAACTTTATATATGTTAATATTTACAGATCACAAGATCTTAGATGTCTGTAAACTCTGTTGACTGCAACACTTTTCTGTTTGCCTGGACCTTTGGTTCCCTCTCCTCTCTGCTCACTGAGCACTATTAGTTCGTTTCGCTTTTCCGCCCTGCAACTGCTCTATACACTGTGTGGTGAAGGCTGATGGCAGAAGGCAGATGCCACTGAGCATGTGGAAGGGTAGGTCAATGGATGGTCTTCAGAGCTGGCAAGGAGCTGCAAAGAGCATTCAAGACAAGCCATCAAAATTTCCTACGAAGCAAAGTAAAATACTGAGCAGGAATCCACAGCCCTTGGTTATCAAAGGGAGAATACTGAAAGGAATCTGTTACAATCAGTGCTCTGGTGGCCTTCTGAGAACGTGTGTGGTTTTGAGAAGATGAAGTCACTTCAGACTACATGGAAGTGGAGCGGGGGGGTGGCCAGAGCATCCCTTCAGGGTTGATGCAGCAGTAGCTCCAGGGAGGCACATCTGGTCGGTCCACTATGGAGCAACGGAGGGGCCTCCCGGGAGGCTTGGCCTCATGGCTTAGTACAAAGCAGTGTTCTGGAGAGTCGCCTATCATGTACACAATTACTGGCATGTTAAGACAGCTTAGAATTAATAAAAAAGAGTTCTTCATCTAACGCAAAAATGCCAAAGCTTGCACTCAGATAAGATGCACTCTCTGTACCCAAGCTCTTTAAATGACACAAGTATGTAAGAGTGGATTGTCAGAAATCTCTAGGCACCTACATCAACTGAATTGATTAAAAATAAATAAAAAATATATTAAAAATGGAAGTTAAAACTTAGTACTTATAAGAATTGGGCCCCAAGTTCTCAGGTACATTTAGGCTGTAGATTTCAAGGTCAGTCCAACCTTGGCACTGCTAATGCACACTACTTACAGCCAGGCTAGATTAACCCTTGACATGATAGAGTCATGGGAACTAACCCATCACAGCCAGCTTGGGTGTCTACCCCACACTGTAGCCTTCAGTGAAGACAAAACCTTTAGCAGATCAGCCTTTATGCATATTGCTCCCATAAAATGGTAATCACTGTCAACAACATGTTATTTCCTTGTTTAATTTTCAAATTAGTCACTTACCGTTTAAAACAATAACAACAATTCCAAACAGTATTTCATGCATTTTCTACCAAAAAGATTAGTAGCTAAGGCTTTCCTAAATTATACTGCACTAATAATGGAAACTACAACACAATCTCTAAAACACAATGCTAAATGCTAATGAGCATTTCTACTTAAATACATGGAAGGGATGAGGATGTGAGCGAATGCACTACAAACATCTACACACACTCTGTGGGAAAAAGGTTTTAAAAAATAAAATAAAATGAGGATTCACAGAAAGCACAGAGTTATCACCTTGAATCATACTGGGGGAGTGGAGAGGAATAGCTGCAAAATAATTTAGAAAGCAAATGGGAAAAATTAATGTAAGATAATTAGAGGCAAGCAACAGAAAATATCAATAATAAGCGCAAAGGAAAAGTAACAATCAGAAAAATAACAAAAGCACATATTTGAAGGTCAATCTTAGAAATCATTTGGCTTTTGCTTTGCGTATCGTAACCTACGTCATACAAAATATGCTACACATGGAAAAAAAGTGAGTGTTCGTTTAATTAGTCATCATGAGTCCATAATTCCTCTGAGAAATGCAGAACCACATGGAGAAAAGCATCTGCAATTTACTTAGGTCATGAGAAAATTTATTGTAACACAAGTTTTTTAATTCTCAAAACATTGTGCCGTGGAAAACCAGTTCTTGCACTTTTCTAGAAGTCTATTTTCCAAAGCATAATGTGTAAAGACATGTATGGCAGGATATTTGAAAGGAAGATCAGTCCATGCCAATCATTACACTGCTTTAAAAAGCAGTTCTTCTGTGTATACAGGAGGCTGGAGTAAACTACAATTAACCTGATATATACCACCTTTCAAGACTGGACACAGTATTTCTGAGTTTCTCAATATGGAAGGCAGTGTGACACGTTTATTTCTTTCAGATAAGAAAACCAAGGATTTAAAAAAGGCAAACACGAAGAGAGCACAACCACATTTTAGTTCAGAAAAATTGCACGAGTAAGCTCACATTTGAAAGCCAAAGGTCATTTTGGTGAAGGGTCTCTACCCTTCCAGAGGCCTCAACATTCATGACACATTTCAGCATACTGCTTACAATGGACCCTGTTCAGAATATATGCTGGCAAAACAACTTCTCTGAACTCAAGACAAAAAAACACGAAACATTATCTTGGCTTGAAAAAAGGAAAAACCAGAAGAGTCAAAATTACTGCCAGCAATTCCTTCTTTCTTCCCCTTTCACTGATACATCGCTGGATCTCCACATCCTGCTCCCAAAATTCCCCGCCTCAGGAGATGGGAACAGACTTCAATGCTCTCTTCTGACCGTGGGCGAACGGGGAAAAGAGCAACCTGAGGGACTGCGGGGGAGCTCCCTAACATGGCCCATGGCAGGACAGGGGGGAGGATGAAGAATGCGAAGCACTGTGGGGTCAGGGCCACCTGGACCACGAGGGCTGATGCCAGCACGTCGCCCCAGCTGCAGCATCTCTGCCTGTGGTCACTGAAAGAACCGGGGACAAAACTGAAGCACTGCGAACAAGGAGAAAAGGAGTTGCTTTTCAGAAAAAAAGTCTGCCTGAAGTGAAAAGTCACCATCCTCTGCATATCAGAGGTACTGGAAGTCGTGAAGGCAATATCTGTTGATTGCCCCTAGATGAAGATATCAGGGAAAACCGAACAGTATCATATTATAATATGGGGCCACAATCAAAAAGAAAGTAAATGAGTGAGATTTTTTTTTGCCTAACAGCCATCAGAATATCACTTCTGATGGTCTTTTCATTTGTTAAATGAGAAATCTGAGTGGTCAGTAAAACTATACTTTTTTTTGGAGAATATTTTGGTGCTAGGATCCTGCCCCTCCTCTGCAGCCCCACAGTTTGCCCCACTGCTGCAGGTTTGCAGCCCTGTCCCTCCGGGCAGCAGCTAAGGCCACCTCTGTGTTAGTGAGGACTGAGGTACAAAGAGAGCAGAATCTGGAGTAGTTGATGAGAAAGATACCATGTCCATAGACTACATGTTCTGGAGGGCTGGAACCATTAGGGAGCACGCTGAAGAACTAAGGACAGACAAGTAACGTCCCAGAGACTGTCAGGATGCAAACATCAGACCTATTTTGGGCCAGGATGAAAAAGAGAGAGAAAATTTTAGACCAATTGGCCGAACCCCAATTGCCAGATATATTCAGGAATAAGTTATCCAACAACCAATCTACAAAGGCCTAAAGGATAATCAAGAGATTACAACTCGCCTACCACCAGTCCTCAAAATAAAACCAAGCCAAAATAGAAGTAGCAAGAGCAACTCATGTTAAATGAATTTAACTTCCTTCTTTGACTGGGTAACTTACCCAGTGGATGTGTGGAAGTTCTGTCTTGGCATCTCAGTAAGCAATTGAGGTACAGTATAGATAAGGTAAGTGCACAATCATCTGGGAAGTTACCTCAAAAGAGATACCATCAGTGCTTTATTGTTAAACTAAAAGGAAACTTCAAGTGGAGATTTCACTGTGCTGTCCCCGGCCAGGTGCTAAGCTAATGTCTTCATTCATGATTTGAGCACTGGACAGGAAAAATGTCTGAAAAGTCTTTCGAAAATAAGATCAGAATTAAAAGCTATCTTGCTAAAATGGAAAAAGGGTCTGGAACCAACAAACTGAAATATTGCAAAGGCAAATGCAAACAGAGGGAAGAAGCCAAACACATAAGCATAAAACACAGGGAAAATAATCAGACTACAGAATTACAGAAAAGAACCAAGGAATTCTGGCAGATCACAAACATCCACCAACAGAAACTGCAGTTACCAAGAACTGTAATTCTCATTGTGAGATTGGCTAAGATTGTGTTATGTGTCAGACCAAAGAGGCAGCAATCATGGCTTAGAAATAAGATCTCACCAATGAGGGGAGAGCCAGGAGACAGCAGCAAGAACATGCTGAAATGTAGAAAGCATCACCTAGGAGGATCTGTGACTTTTCAGTCCATAAAACCTGTCTTCCAACATATAGAACTTTGTTACAACATCAGTAAGATATTGTTCTCTGTGACTACTATGGATATGACAAGAAATAAAATTTCTTTTCTGCAGATAAAGCCTAAGTCAAGTATCAGGGGAAGAAATACCATAACAAGGGATAGTGAACTACCGAAGCTGCAGCACTGTACAAAGTCTGATTTTTAGTGATCATGAAGAAATTAAACATATTTCAGGAACAGCTTGACTACGCAAACGGGTGGACTATCAGCTCTCTGAGATCCTTTGCTGACACACCTTTCTGCAATAACCCATAGACTTTAGCTTTTCATGTTGCAGTTCTCGACATTTCAGCTCTAGCACTGACCATGTTTACGTTTTTATCAGCTCGTGGCCAAAAATCCACTGCTGTATAGATGTGATCAGCAGAAGCAGTTGCTTACATGTATTGTGGGACTGTAGCTTCAGATTTTTGGGGACCTGATGCAGTTTTGAAACTGAAATATTTTGCTATGTGCTGCACTCATTTTCATTTTAAGAACATAATTGTCACAAAATGAGGAATTAAATTTAAAACTATGTGAAATTTTATGCCCTGGTACTGAAAATTAAGCAAATATTTATTCTAGGCAATCTCATATGCAATGATTCCTTTCAGTTATACACTTATTTGTACATTTTTACAACACGCTTTCAAACATTGCTATCATTGCATTTAAATCGAGTCTATGTGGTGTCATCAAGAAGCACAACTGCAGTGATGACTCATAAGTAAATGAATAGTACCACTGTAATCAAACTACAGATTGGAGCCTAGGTAGGAGTTTGGAGGTATAAATAAAACCAGAAGTTAAATTAAAGCCTCACTTTTTTTCCTGTATGAAAGGACAGAAAGCATAACATTATATCTTGATTTCATATTCCAAATAAATACAAGTCAAACAAAAATCACCTTATGACACTTAAAGCAAAGCATAAGCAACAGAAAAAGCACAACAGGACTATTAGAAAGAAGCCTGTGGGATTACAATGTTTTAGCCTTCAGAAAATTCAGTGCAGATGCAAGTTTTTGGTTTGATATGCAAGAATTTAGACTGACTCCTGTTATTAAGCACTCTCCTTGAAGTCAGTGTGAATTTTGCCACTGGCTTCAACTGAGGCAGGAATAGGCATGTTATCAGCCATTACAGCAGCCTGTATTCTTCAGCTAACAATACACTTCAACATTTAAAAATAAAGTAAATCTGTTAAGTGACCTACCCAGAATGGATGGGACTTGAAACAAGGTTAACATTGTCCAAGGTGTCTGCAGCCCAGCTATAGTGTCTGAGAGAATCAGAATCAAATTCCCTTTGAAACGTCAGGTGCTTAAAAACATAAAAAAAAATAAATTGAAATTTAAAACTAACATGTAAAACATTTTTCTTAAATACAAGTTTGTTAATATGATTCTCTTAAATTTAAATCTGGCCCCTTTTCCACATTACAGTGCTGGTATCCCGGGTGTTAAATTACTGGAAATCCCATTACAGAAACATGGAATCAACAGACAAATTAATCTTATGCATCTTCAAACATTCTTTCTGCCCACTTTTCCCACTTCCTTCAGTTACAACTACGTTCCTCTCCAAACTTTACTTACACGTGCAAGGTTAAAAAAGATTGAAAAAAATATTACCATTTGTACTGCAGTCATACACCATATAGACAGGCAATATAATATTCCCCCACAGAAAACGCCATCAGATAGATCCTAATTCAGGCAGAACCTGTGAGTAATTTCACCGAGAGTTTAATTGAAGCTGTCAATGCACAACCAGGCTCCTGAAGGGAGGAGAGTGTAGTTTGTCTTTATACACATACAGATAACATGAACACCGCTTTCTGGAGTGCCACTGTCCCCACTCACCTCTATAAAAATAGCTTTAACCCTGTGAAGTGCTGGCACACTGGTGCTATAATTAACTGCCCCATCTGACAGACATCGAGGTGTCATTTGTTTCTTGTTGTTGCCCACAGACATGCGTGGGCACGCTCATGTGTCCTGTGCCCTGCAACAAGGTCTCACACTATAAATTCTCTTATCTGTGTAGCAAAGCCATGCTAGTAAAATACTCTTTTTTTTTTTCTTTGTTTCTTTTTTCCCCAGGAAATTAAACAAATGAAATCTTCAGACACTGTATGTCCTATTTCCAGAGTGACACGGAGCTGTCAGAAGCCAAGGTCAATATAACTAAGTGAAGAAGCTGTCATGCAATACACACAGACTATCTTCACCCAAGATGGTGTTAAAGATGTCAGTGTTTCCTGTAAGTAGGTTGTTTTCTGCTTACAGGCAAATACACCTAGTGAAAGCAGTCTGTTAAGACTAAAACCTCACAGGCTGTTTTCAAATCAAATTCTGTGGGTTCAGGTCAAAGCTGAGCCAAGCACACACTTCTACACAGGAAAGTTTTATCATCTCCACATATTTTCTTCTACGTACTGGCACATAGAGGCAGCGCAAGTAAAGTATTTTGAATTGAAATATCAGCATTAGTAAGTTAATCTGGCAAAGTCAGTCACAAACACACAAAAATACTTCTGCTGAGAAGCTTCCATAAGATAAGCACGCAAGATAGCGCTGTCGTTGGCCAAAACCTGCAACCTTCCCATCACTCTGGGGTTTCCAAAAAACACCTCTCTTTAGATGTTTCTTTTCAATTTCAAATGAGCATTTCAGGAGTCCTTGCAGAAACCATCAACATTATAATTTACTGCCAATCAACTGAAACATCTGCAGGATGCAACTTTGCTCTGTCATCTGTCCAATACTGAGGCACATAGCTTGATGCCTCCTTCTTTTGCTACCTTAACTCTTACCAGGATCTTTTGTTAAACTTCTTGCTGTAAGACACATGCTTGAGGCCTGAAGGTTCAAGTACAGATAACAACAACAATGGTAAAAGTTGCATATGTTAAACACCAAAATACACTATCAGACATAACAGATAAAATAAATGCCATTAAAACAATGGCAATTAAGCAACAGTAATGGATTTAATTAGCATCATTTTGAAAAATGTACCATAATTTAGTTTAATTAAGACAGTTTTCTATCTCTTCCCAATAGAACACTAGTGATTCTCCCACAGTTCCTGAGGAGCCTGCAGTTCAGGCACGAAAGCCATCACTGCTATCCAAGTGATCTAACATCACAGAATCATTCAGGTTGGAAAAGACCTTGGGATCATCCAGTCCAACCATTAACCCTGTTCTAGAAAGCTCACCCCTAAACCATATCTCCCAACACCACATCTAAACGACCTTTAAACACATCCAGGGATGGTGACTCAACCACTTTCCCAGGCAGCCTATTCCAATGTCTGACTGCTCCTTCTGTGAAAACCTTTTCCCTAATGTCCAGTCTAAACCTACCCTGTTGCAGTTTGAAGTCATTCCCTCTTGTTTTATCGCTAATTACCTGTGAGAAGAGACCAGTACCAACCTCTCTACAACGTCCTTTCAGGTAGCTGTAGAGAGTGATGAGGTCTCCTCTAAGCCTGCTCTTCTTCAAACTAAACAGCCCCAGCTCCTGCAATCATTCTTCCTAAGATTATTCTCCAGGATCTTCACCTGCTTCATTTCCCTCCTCTGCACTCACTCCAGCACCTTGAGATCTCCTGTACTGAGGTGCCCAAAACTGGACACAACACTCAAGGTAAGGCCTTAACAGTACCGAGTACAGGGGGATAATCTCCCCGCTAGTGCTTGTCACATTATTTCTAACACAAGCTAGGATGCCATTGGCCTTCTTGGCCACACTGCTGGCTCATTTTCAGCCACTTGTCGATTAGAACTCCCAGGTCCCTTTCTGCCAGGCAGCTTTTCCAGCTTTCCCAAGCCTATATCGTTGCAGGGGGTGGTTGTGGCCCAAGTGCAGGACCTGGCATTTGGCCTTGTCAAAGCTCATACTATTAACACTGGCCCATCGATCCAGTCTATCCAAGACTCTCTCTGTATGGCCTCTCTACTATCATAAGAGCTTGTACTGAGTACGTTATTACTTTTGACGCCAAACAGTGTAATATCCAGACAGTTGGTCTCAGAAGTTGTAATAATTTTGATAAACAAGAATAAAATTATTCCTTTGCTCAGTGATTTACATTATCATCAAAAATCAAGCAAAACAAAGAAACTCAAGAAACGTGTGATAAAGAACACCACAATTTAGCATTTGTCATTCAATAAACCATAGCGATATCACTACACTGAGGTCCAGGCATGAACTAGGGCATGTGCATCAACAAATAAGCATGGGATCACGTTTGTTGTAACAGAAGAAAAACGTTACAGTTCCTTCAGCAGCATGATACAGAAAACTAAACTGAGGGCCACATAATTTCCAAGGAAATACCACCACTCTAAAATCACCTGCGCTAAACAGAGGTGCTACTACGCTCACAAAGTCGCTGTAGGTCTGTCTACTCACATAAATAGGGTTCCTTGGGCTATTTCTTTGTCCTGAAATATTGTCTCTATATCAAGTGACTCTAATTTTTTGACACATTCCTTCCTGACAAAGTGCACTCAAAAACCTCTCTTGGACATATTTACAGCCATAAAAGTACAAAGCCTGCAGCCAATAATTTTGGCAGAGAAACAGAGTAGGAAAAGATAATAGCTGGACACATGCATCTTACACACATCACACATCTGTTGATCTCATTTTGTCAGTCCGCTGAGGCACTGGATTTTCCAGGCAGGCAAAAAAATCTTCTGTTTAAGTTGCAATATACACACTCCAGAAGTTGGTACATCATCAGTGGCATCAAATCACAGGATTCATCCTGTGTTTGGTCAGATCCCAGTGTTTCCTCCCTGGACTGAGGGAGATTAAATATACATTGCTAAAGGGTGTGGCATCATTAGATGCAAATGTATGTATAAGAACATTGATGGTTCTGCTGGCAAGGATCCTGCTGGTTGCAAAACTGAATATCCAGGCTATGTAATACCAGAGTTCAGCAAACAGAAGAATTTACGTTTCCTCCCAGCTGAATTTATCCAGACAGAAGAGACTGAGTAAGCTGCTATGTAATGGACAGCATAATTCATCCTGCCTCTGTCTGATTAAATTCAGAGGTTGATGTAGATTATTCCATAAAATCAGAGAATTGTTTAAGTTGGAAAAGACCTTTAAGATCAGCAACCATTAACCTAGTGATGCCAGGTCCCACCACTAAACCATTGAGAAAGTTGTTCACATTTGGTCTGAGTTGCTGTATTCGTGGTTTCACACTCAGACACAGAAATTTTAACTTTGCACCAGTGAGGTTACTTCTCAGGGAACTGTTAGAAACTCTTCTTTAATACCAACATATAAGCTGGTGGTAAGATTCAGTAAAGACTGGTTTCAAATCTTCCTCATCTGATGGTTTTTAGACTCCCAAGTCTCCCAGTGACCTTGGAGAAAGGTGACCATGGGATCTTCTATTTGAACCTGATCAAGAGGTTGACAAACGCCCCTTCCTTTTTATATACTTATATGTGATGCAATTAATTCCCTTAATTCTGAGACTTGTCTGTTGTCATGAACTCCAGACAGGTCTGAGAGAACCAGAATATGCAGATAGGCAACGGCTGGCTCCTTCAAAGCAGTGTGACATCCCAAAACAGGTTAACCCCCATCAGTTTCCAGGTGGGCTTTTAGGATATTGGCTTTGGCCCACAACGACCTTTGTTCCCATGTTAAAACACAAGGTGCTTTTCGCCCCTGCGCTCTGTTGCCAGAGCAGATGTTATGTAGAAGCACAGTAATGTACAGAGGGAGGAATGGGAAGAAGAGACAAGGGTGTCCTCCACCTCCCAGAGGCACTCCTCTCACTTCATCCACAGAGCTGTAAAGCTCACCACCATAGGTCTGGGCTGTGCTGAAGAACACAGGAATTCCAGAAGATGGATATATTTTTTGTCAGAACTTTGAGGTTTGTAGAAGCTGTAGCAGAAAATTTTAGCTGGGCTCCCTTTTTGACAAAGACAGTTTCTTGCTTTACTGTCACTTGTTTTCAGGGAATCGTGGTTTTATTAACCTCTCAAGACAGGACTGACATTTTTTCTGCTACCACCTTCACATTCCTGATCCTCTCCTGGACTTGAGAAACTTGAAGTCTGACTGGAGCATTAAGATCAGAATAACATTTACAACTAGCCTCCAGCCTGACTTCATTTTACTTGACAAATTTGGACTGGGTCTGAACCGCAGGAATTGCACAATCACTGCTGGACAAAAATTTGAATCACAAAAATACGAAGAATATAAATGCAATGAAAACAGCCTATGCTACCATTCAGCACCAGCACTAGAAGGGTTTTGTATTTGTTGCTTTCTCAGCTCAAGAGTCAGCACTGCAAGAGATCCTGCAGAAAGCTGAGGTCCGTGACCACTCACAGAGAACATGAAGTTGGCCCCAAAGTAGAGTTCCTGTACATGATGTGGTATCACTACACTTCCATGTACAGATAATTATTTTTTAGTGGAATTCTAATAAAAAATAAGTTAATGGTGCATACCTGCACAATGTTCTTTAGGAGTAATTTAGCATAATGCTGGTTTTAAGTCTTGTTATGTGATCAAATGCACCCTAGCTGCTAAACCAACGCCATCTACTTTGACGATGGTACTCAGAAAAATGGTCAGAATCATAAACCAATGTAATATGTTTTCTGACTGAAGAGCCTTCCTCTCCTCTGAAGATTCTACATCACATCAAGAAGACTTAATGTAGGCTTAGAAGTAGGAAATGTCAGAGTAACTTTAGGTTCTCAGCCCTGAAATATCATTTCTTCCAGTGCCAGTAGTCACAGATTTTATCTTCTGACTTCAAAATAAATGAAAGCAACAGAATTACTACTACGCAATGTTCAGAAACTCTCCTTAGCTGGCTGTTGCAAATCAAGGTTATTGGAGGTTTATAACATACACTTGGAAGTAACAACCTACTAATAAACATTCAGTTGCTAAACACAGAACCCAATTTCTGCCATTGTCATAATGCTACCAAAGCTGTGTAAAAGCTATAGGAAAATTAGGTAATTTACACTACAGCAGCATTTATAGACTGAAACAAGGTTTAAAACGCATTAGTCCTGCTCTGTGGACCCTTTTTCACCTGAAAGCATCCTCTGAGATCAGTAACCCCCTGTGCAGGAATACTTGCTGAGAGGCACCTCTGTGAAAATGGCAGCATAAAAACTGCTTCATTACAATCCACCTTATGCTCTTCCAGGACATAAACAACAGTTCCACTCCACAGTCTTTTCATAGAATCGTAGAATGGTTTGTGTTGGAAGGGATCTTAAAGATCATTTAGTTCCAATCCCACTGCCATGGGCAGGGACACCTCCCACTAGACCAGGTTCCTCAAAACCCTGGCCAGCCTGGCCTTGAACGCTTCCAGGGAGGAGACATCCACAACTTCTCTGGGCAGCCTGTTCCAGTTGCCTCACCACCCTGACGGAAAACAATTTCTTCCTTATATCTAATCTAAATCTACATTCTTTCATTTTGAAACCGTTACCCCTTATCACTACACTCCCTGATAAAGTCCCTCCCCTTCTTTCCTGTAGCCCCCTTTAAGTACTGAAAGGTGCTATAAGGCCTTCCCAGAGCCTTCTCTTCTCCAGGCTGAACAGACCCAACTCTCTCAGCCTTTCCTCATATGGGAGGTGCTCCAACCCCCTGAGCACAGTACTCCAGGTGGGGTCTCACCAGAGTGAAGTAGAGAGGGAGAATCTCCTCCCTTCACCTGCTGACCATGCTTCTCGCAGATGCAGCCCAGGGCGCAGCTGGCTTTCTGGGCTCAGAGCACACATTGCTAGCTCATGTTCAGTTTTTCATCCACCAACAGCCCCAAGTCCATCTCTGCAGGACTGCTCTCAGTGCATTCTTTGCCCAGTCTGTATTTGTGTTTGTGACTGTCCCGACCCAGCTGCAGGACCTTAAGCCTTGTTGAACTTCATGAGATTGGTGCAGGCCCACCTCTCCAGCCTGTCAAGGCCCCTCTGGATGGCATCCCGTCCCTCCAGCGTGTCAACCGCACAACAGAGCTTCAGTGTCGCTGACAAACTTGCTGAGGATGCCCTTGGTCCCACTGTCCAAGTCACCAGCAAAGATGTTACACAGCAGTGATCCCAACACCAAACCCTGACGAACACTACTCATCACTGGTCTCCAATTGGACACTGAGTCATTTGCCACAACTCCTTGAGTGTGATCATCCAGTCAATTCCTTATGTACCAAGCAGTCCATTCACGAAATCCATGTCTCTCCAATTTAGAGACAAGGATGTCATGCGGGACAGTGTCAAATGCTTTGCACAAATGCAGGTATATGATGCCTGCTCCTCTTCCCTTATCCAACAACGTTGTAACCCCACCATAACGGCAAAATTTGCCCTTAGTGAAGCCATATTGGCTGTCACTAATCACCTCCTTACTTTCTCTGTGCCCTAGCACAGTTTCCAACTGAATCTGCACCATGATCTTGCTGGATACAGGTGAGACTGACTGGCCTGCAACTCTCCAGGTTTTCTTTTTTTTCCCCCCTTTTATTTCCCTTTAATTTCCAAGTAAAGATTTCTATGTGAATTTTCATTCAACTTTCTAGCAGATCTCTGGCTTCCACGTACCAAGAAATACTTGACTAATTCAGTTCGACTTGAAAATCTGAAGAAAGTCTACCAAGCACAATGCTGAGGAACTCACACAAAGGGCACAGTATCCCATCATCTCCAGCATTAGCTTTTGGAAAGACCTTCCCATGCTATAATCAGGTCAAAAGATACTGCTTTTGTTGTATTAGTCACTGCACAAATGTTTGGAAGATACATAAACTGGCTAGTGCATAACAGCTTAATCTTTCCAAGGCCAAATTCTTCCCAAG